AACTGAAATAAGTTTTCTGACCCATCTATTCCCTTGATGCAGCTCAAAAACAGTGTGTTAGCTCTGCCGGGCAGCAGGAGGACACAGCAAGCAGGGAATCACCTGCCAGAAGATACTCAGTCCCTGACCAATAAGGAAAGAAGGGAAGTCCTTCCTCTCTGAATTCCTCCTTTTGTGGGTTTGTGTAGAAAGCCAAGGTTGAATTGGATTTTTTGGCACAAAGGAAACCTCTGAGAAGGTGGAAGAGCCAGAGGGTCAGAACCCGGGACAGGAATGTCTATGACTCACTCCTGATCGTTCCTCTTTCACAAAGGCCACACCCCAGTCTACCAAGGGAGCTGAAAACAAAGTCCTATGTGAGTCTGGAGAGACTCTTCAGGGCAAGAATGAACAGCATACACGAAGGGCTGCTTTCACATCCACCGCAGACTCCAGTAGCTCTGAGCACAGTCACTGAGTCCACACGAGAGACCCCACAAAGGGTGAGGGGAAAAGGACGCAGGGATGGAAACAGAGGGGCTGGGTGAGATCTAGCATTTGCTGAGGGGCACTGGGAAGCTCAAATCCTCTAGGCCTTGGTTTCCTCGCCTGTAACTGATCCCTGCCTCACCTTCCACAGAGCGCCATTTTGGAGATCAAGTAAGATCATGAATGCACGGAGCACTCTACACATCTAATACTTGTTATAAGAAAAGTTTTTAACAAGAAATGCTTTCTCTGGTTTCTGACCACATGAGTCATTTTGATATTGTGGTTTTGGGTCTTTTTGATGAGAAACAATAGAGAGGCAAGTTTCAACGGAGTTGAACTCTCAAGCAGCAACGACTTCCACTTGCCTGGCTGCTCCCCACCTGGAACATCCACATACCCAGCAAATCCACAGGATAACAAAATCGAGGGGCTTTGAGGGAGAGACCGCCATCGCTTTCCAAATCAGACCGTTGTCTAGGAAACTCAGAAGAAAAGCCAAGTTGTTTCTTGCCAGGTCCTTAAGCTTCGAGATATAATTTCCATCAACATCCCCCTTAGAAAAAAATTCCACCCAAAATATTAATTCAGGGGGCTTGCCCAGTTTATTATATTAGTCATCCAGAAACCTGTACTCACTGTAGAGAGGCGCAAGAAAACAAACCTCTAAGCCATGAGAGCTTAAGTGTATCAATGACACAGAATGGGCAAGGGCAGAGTCATGCTGCCTCCATCAAGGTAGACTGTCTGCTGGGCTGGAGGCAGAAAGAGCCATACCAGGTACCAGTGGGAAACAGAATAAATGCTCTGGCACTCTCTTCAGACGTGTTAAATTAGAATAGACAAGGTCAGGAGAGGGAAAGAGGGGCACTGAGTTGATAGGTTCCTGTTGGCCAGGAAAAGGGAGGCTCCGACCCTACACCCTTCCCACTCCTAAGGCAGAGGGCTGCCTGGCGCACTGAATCACACAGGTGCCTCTTCACACTGATACTCACTCAGGATTCTCGGTGGTTTCCCAAGTAATCTGCCTATGGGAAAATCATACCTAGTCACACTGGACAATGCTCTCTGATCCCCAGAGCAGGTCTATTTTTCACAGTAAATGCATATAGTAGCATTCTAGTTTACACATCAGACTCTTGTAAGCTTAGTGTGAATTTATCCCTGAGATACTCATCCATTCTTAGGTATATTAAAATAACCAACTATCTGCGGCCATCAGGCTAAATTCCAGACAGATGAAGCAGCTCCATGATGATCAGGACTGGTGGTATGACCATGGTGAAGCCAGCTGTGAGCACTCCTGGCTGCCGGATAGCCATCTTCCGTCAGAGACTCACCAGCGACATTAAGGCCCCTTCAAACCACTTGTACTAGAAGTGGAGATATAGCATATCTTATTTGAACATATGTATTATAGATACATGCCCTTCTAGTTTTCTTTCATCAAGTCATTCCTCAGGCTCCTCTCTGCCTTGTCAACACTCCTCTTACTATTCTTTTCCCTTTTTTGTGAAACGGAGTCTTGCTCTGTTGCCCAGGCTGGAGTGCAGTGGTGCAATCATGGCTCACTGCATCCTCTGCCTCCCAGGTTCAAGTGATTCTCCTGCCTCAGTCTCCTGAGTAACTGGGATTATAGGCATGTGATACCACACCTGGCTAATTTTTTGGATTCTTAGTAGAGATGGGGTTTCACCATGTTAGCCAGGCTTGTCTGGAATTCCTGACCTCAAGTGATTCACCTACCTCAGCCTCCCAAACTCTTATTACTATTTGTTTTTTTTTTTTTTTGAGATGGAGTCTCGCTCTGTCGCCCAGGCTGGAGTGCAGTGGCGTGATCTCGGCTCACTGCAAGCTCCGCCTCCCAGGTTCGCACTATTCTCCTGCCTCAGCCTCCTGAGCAGCTGGGACTACAGGCGCCCGCCACCACGCCCAGCTAATTTTTTGTATTTTTAGTAAAGACAGGGTTTCACCGTGTTAGCCAATAATGGACCTCGATCTCCTGACCTTGTGATCCGCCCGCCTCAGCCTCCCAAAGTGCTGGGATTACAGGCGTGAGCCACCGCGCCCAGTCATTCTTACTATTCTTAACACTTTATATTAAAAGGCATTGTAGGCCAGGCGTGGTGGCTCAAGACTGTAATCCCAGCACTTTGGTAGGCCAAGGCAGGCGAATCCCATGAAGTGAGTTTATGACCAGCCTGGCCAATATGGTGAAACACCATCTCTATTAAAAATACGAAACTTAGCTGGGCATGGTGGCACAAGCCTGTAGTCCCAGCTACTTGGGAGGCTGAGGTGCAAGGATCACTTGAACTGGGAGGCAGAGGTTGCAGTAAACTGAGATTGTGCCATTGGAAGCCCGCCTGGGCAACAAAGTGAGACTCTGTCTCAAAAAAAAAAAAGGCATTGTAGAAGTTCCCAGTAAATATAAGTGCAATAGCCATTTACTGAATATTTCCATCAGTGTATTATTTTGTTTAAGCCTTACTACAACCTATTAGTCAAACATTATCATTCCTAATTTATAGATTAAAAAAAAAAAGGGAGGCTCAGAAAGTTGAAGGAACTTACATAAGGTCACGCATGGAACAAACTGTGGAGTTAAGATTGGAAGCAGGCAGGTCTGCACATCCTACACCCAGCACATCCTAAACTACTAACAATAACCACTTCTCTTTCTTGCTTATTTCATGGAACTAAATGCTAAGTTATGTAACCCTCTTTCTGTCTTTGTGCACAGGTGCCCAGGAGCTCTGATTTCTCCCCACTGTGCCATCATGGGAAACACACAAACAGATCTTGTTTTGGGCCCTGTCCCACCAGGGCTCAGAGGACTGAAGCTCAACTTTACACAGTTCACGTTACTATTCTTTTCTTATAGCTATTCATCCTGTCCTGATTGTCTGCTGTAGTTTGAGGCTATTTTTGGCCTTTATTTTTTCACAAGAGTGCATATGATACCATGGAAACCAAATTATATTTTCATTTATTCTCATTCTATTTTAGGTTCAGTATTTAAATAACCCAGATGAATTTTGAATCACACAGATTATCTTATCCCCTTTAACTACTGATTTAGCTCCCTACTTCCCCAGTATCAGTCCATGTTTAATTTCTTGTTTTAGCTTCTAACTGGCAAGCTACTGACAGTGTGCTTTGGGTTACTGTATATTCATTTTCCTTCAAGTTCCAGAGAACACTCCTTATCATTTACAGTTAAGATAAGCACTATCATCATAAGTCTCTCAGCCAACCCACGCTTCCCTTCCTCTCTCTGTAGTGCAAATCCATTGATAAAGAGAGCAGCAAGATAAAAGAATATTTTAGCAATCCACCCCCCCTTTCTCCTTAGTTCTCTAAGAACTGGGGGCTGAGAAATGTACAGAAACAATGATGTTTAATGTTCCTAGGGATTTAGGGATATACAGAGAGTGAACGTGTTTGATTGCTACCTTAACAAGGTGGGAGAGGGTATATTTTATTTTTTAAATTTGTTATAATTTTTAAAAAATTTCTTTCTGTGTATCTTAGTAAGAGAAGGTTTTTTAAAATTTTCAATATGTGTACACTCCATTTTAGGTAAATAATTCCCTATTGACAAGTATTTTAGATGTTCCCACCCCATATTATTGATGCATGCTGGCATGCATCAATAATGACAGCAAACACTCATATAACATGTATCTTCATGTCTCAGATACTGATCCAAGTGCTTTGCAGACAGTGTCTCGCAGAATCATCACAAAATCATGTGAGGTACATACAACTGTCATCATCTCCACTCTCGAGAGCAAACTAAAGCACAGAGAAGCTATGTAACTTGCCCTGGGTTATAATGCTAGTAAGAGGTAGAAATGAGATAGGATGGATCCTAGGCTGTCTGATGTCTGAGTATTACTGTATGCTACTTCTATGGCAAGAATGTGATGGAACTTTAGGCTGCATGAGTACAAGGTTGTGCATCCATCAGATGAGGGCAAGGACTCCTATCCGGATCCCTCACCCCCACCCCACTGTGATATCCTAGCACCTGGAACAGTGGCAGGCACATGGTATATGTTCTAGAAATAATTTATTGATATGAATGAATAAATACATCAATGAATGATTCCTCTCAAATCAAAATTGAGAATAACACATTTATCTGGTGCTACACATTCTGCTGGGGGCATTCATGCTCTGGAATAACGATGTCAGTGTGTTAGGGAGCAATGTTAAACCTCTAAATTGAAGGTTGGGCCAATGTTCATCCTTTCAAAATTCTTTGTGCTAACGATTTTAAAGAGAAAGGACCCCGGCAATGCATGTAGCCAAGCAAGTGTGCAGAATTACTGGTGGTACCTTTATGCCCCTGGGTGGTGGCTTGGCTTCAGTGGAAGGGAAATCGATCCCTCCCTTTATGTTGAAAAGCACTGTAATTATCTCGGCTGCTTTGAAGCCAGTGAAAGGTAGGAAATAAATATTTCAGAAGCACAATGAACGGGAGACATAAGCAACCCTTCCCAACAAGCACAAAAGGGTGTATATACCTGTTCTGAGAAAAACTGGAAGCCCTTGTCCTCCCGAATACATTCATATGTTTCTCCAAGAACTGGATTAAATGGCTTGCTCCCAGCTCGGTAGTAGCTAGATGCATACGCTGATATGGCAAAGGCTGCCACATACACCTAAGGACAAGAGAAAAGAACGTTGTCACTTCTGTGTCACCAAGAGCTTTATTGTTCACAAAGAACTTAACAAAATAAAACCTCTATGATTTTCTTTCAGAAAGCCAAAGATTTGTCTTTGGTTGTTTAAAAACAACCAAACCAACACAGGTTTAAAATTGTAGGTTTAAATAATGTTTATTTGGGCCCCCAAACAAATTAATCCAATGTTTTCAAGCTGTCCGTTTATCTTGATGCCTAAAAGTTGGGAGACGCTATCAAGACGATGACATTTCTAAACTGGACTACGCTGTTTCTGGAAACTGGTAAGCTGAGGCCAGTACTTTTAAGCCTGACAGTATCTGAGGATCTTGATAAGATGCTAAGGCTTTAGGGGTAGAGTGGGGAAAGACTATTAAAAAAGGAGTGTTAAAACATCCCTCCAAAACTCAGGAATCAGCATCATAAATTTAACCATTCAAAATGTGATATTATAGAAACCAAAACATTCATTTTGACCAAAGAAAATCTGAGTCATTTCCTAAGCCTGGGAAACAAGCCACAGGATATAGTGACTTTAAAGTTCTGCTTTTTTGGGAGGAAAAGTGAAACATTAAAAAAAAAAAATTAAAATAAAGAGCGGAAGGAAGAAAAACTTTACGTGAACACGAAGTGAACAAAGTCTCTGGGCGGCCCTCACTGTGAGGTCTTGGCATCAGCAGCGGTTCCCCGTCAGGGCACCGGGGGGGGGCACATTACCTTCTTTGTCTTTTTTTCCATGTGTGTGAAAACAGTTAAGCCTAAGCAGTGATGGCAAATTTTCCTTTCTAATGTCGGCTAGTAACAATCTCAAGATTTCTTCTTCCCAGCACATTTCATGCAGTTTCTTATACTGAAGAAGAGCTGAGTGCCTTTCATAAATGCTCACTAGTCACATAACCTTCCTTTATAACCTTCTGCTAAATTTTTGGTGCTGCCTATAATAGGGGCCACCTCACCACCTCATGCTATAGAATTCTCTAGAGCAGCTGGATGGCTTATAAAAATCAGCTATACTTGGCTGGGTGCAGTGACTCATGCCTGTAATCCCAGCACTTTGGGAGACCAAGGCAGGCAGATCCGCTTGAGTCCAGGAGCTCAAGACCAGCCTGGACAACATGGCGAAACCTCTTCTCTACAGAAAAGATACAACAGACGTAGCTGGGTGTGGTGGCACATGCTTGTGGTCCCAGCTACTTGGGAGGCAGAAGTGGGAGGATTGATTGAGCCCAGGAGGTCGAGGCTACAGTGAGCCGTGACTGCACCACTGCACTCACTCCAGCCTGGGTAACAGAGCAAGACCCTGTCTCCAAAAAAAAAAAAAAAAAAAAAAAAAAAAAAAAAAAAAAAAGGGCCGGGAACGGTGGCTCACACCTATAATCCCAGCACTTTGGGAGGCCAAGGTGGGTGGATCATGAGGTCAGGAGTTCAAGACCAGCCTAACCAACATGGTGAAACCCATCACTACTGACCAGGCACGGTGGCTCAAGTCTGCAATCCCAGCACTTTGGGAGGCCGAGACGGGTGGATCACTAGGTCAGGAGATTGAGACCATCCTGGCTAACACAGTGAAACCCCGTCTCTACTAAAAAATACAAAAAACTAGCCGGGCGAGGTGGCGGGCGCCTGTGGTCCCAGCTACTCCGGAGGCTGAGGCAGGAGAATGGGGTAAACCCGGGAGGCGGAGCTTGCAGTGAGCTGAGATCTAGCCACTGCGCTCCAGCCTGGGTGACAGAGCCAGACTCAGTCTCAAAAAAAAAAAAAAAACCCATCACTACTAAAGATACAAAAACAAGCCGGATGTGGTGGCACGCACCTGTAATCCCAGCTACTCAGGAGGCTTAGATAGGAGAATTACTTGAATCTGGGAGGTAGAGGCTGCAGTGAGCCGAGATTGTGCCACTGTACTTCAGCCTGGTGACAGAGAGAGACTCTGTCTCAAAAAAAAAAAAAGAAAAAATCAACTACACTCAAGTCGGTCCTACTTGTGACTGCCTGCATTCTTGAAACCTGGGTGTGTGTTCCTCTCCCTGCTTCTCCACATTGGTAACCTGTGAAACAGTACAGCCACACCATGTATGGAATGCTGAATCAACCCTTAGTCACCTTCACCATGTAAAATAGAACACAACCGATGAAAGAACCTAGTGCCATGCATGATGCTGTGGGGAAGAGAGACCTAAGGGGAGGCAGAAGGAAGCACTCTCCCTATGGGTTGGCAGCACGAGGGAGAGTCCAGGCAGGGGCATAAGCAGACCTGCAGGTTAGTAAACAAAACCCATGCAATAAGACTCCTGCTTAGTGGTTATGCTGGGGATGAGAAGCCTCTCCTCAAACCTCTGCTCAAGGGCAATTACACCAATCAATCATCTGAATATCCTAAGGGTCTCTAAATTGCCACAGGATGAAACATCTTTAAGAAACTTTCACCCTCAAAGCCAATCATTTCCTTTAAAGAAAAGAGCTGCCCACAAATGCTGACTTTTAACACTTGCCTTAGAAGCTATTTCTAGAAGCTTTGCCTTCCTTTTATTCAGCAAAAATTATCTGGGGACAAGTAACCAAGAACAGTTTAAAAAATACAGCTTGTTTCTGTCTCCTACCCTGATTATCAGTAACAAGAAAGAAAGTCTTTTGGGCCAAGTACAGTGACTCATGCCTGTAATCCCGGCACTTTGGGCGCCAGGGCAGGAGGGTTGCTTGGGCCTAGGAGTTCCAGGTTGCAGTGAGGTAGGACTGTACCACTGTAATCCAGCCTGGGCGACAAAGACCCTGACTCAAAAAAAGGAAGTCTCTTTGATAGGGGAGGCCCTGGAGACTGGGCAGAATGACGATGGGATATCCCTCTCAGACAGCAGGTAAGATTTCCCCTTAATCTTCAAATCATAGAAGTAATAATGTTTTAATAAGCGCTAAGACTGCAGAATACTTAGAATGTAGAAAAGAATAGCATCCTCCATCAATGGGGGGTGTCGGCAGGGCTAGGTCTGTGAAGCCGAGGGGGCACTCCAATTCCAGTGTAGCCAACTGGCAAACGCCCAGGAGAGAGACTCTGCATTTAGGGGACACTGATGTCCCAGCATCCAGTAGAGACAATGACCTTACTGCTCTAAGGGCACTGAATATGAAGAAGCAAAAAGAGGTACAGACACCCATGTTCAAGAACAAAGTCAGTCACAGTCATAGAGAAGGCTGATCTGCCCGAGTCTTGCCCTTTGAGTACTCCATTCCCAATCTCCCTACCCATGAGACGGGGGAAAGATGAGAAATACTTGGAAGTCCTTTTAAAAGCCAGCATGCTGTGACTGGAGCTGATGCCGAGTAGAGAAGATGGGCTTTTCTAAGATTTTTTTTTAAGTACTCTATAAAATAAGAGGGAGAGAGAAAAAAAGAATATTTCTGATGTGAAAACCTCCTCTAGTGAACTTTATTTTCCAAAAACCGAGGAGCCGATGGGACAATTCCAGAAATAAAAACAAACATTCTCAGGGGAAACTTACACTGGATGAGAAAAACAGCTCGAGAAATTAAATTCTGTCCACCCAGGGAAGTAAAAATAAACATGCAGACAGCCCTAAAGACATGTTTTCCAGCCGGGCACATTGGAACAATCAGCTAGAAGGCTTCTGGAGAAAGAGGAAGCACGAACCCACAGAACAGAACTACCCCAGGCACCGAGTGCCACAGAGAAGCACCCCAACCCTGCCTCCAAATCCTGACAAGGTGACTGGAAACAGCCAGGCGGAGGAAGCCAGACAGCTCTGAGTAATGAACCTGTCTATAGAACAATCAAAATGAAACCGGAGGGAACAGGGGCTGTCTCTCTGATGGGCCCCGTGAATGGCCTCGTGGCTCGGGGATTGAGGCTGGACAGTGACAAGGGAAGGCTGACTCCTCACCATTCTTTCCAGGGGGTTGGGAATCTGCGCGGCCTTGTCCAGGAGCTCGCTGTACTCCAGCTCCTCGCAGAGCCTCTGCAGTGTGTTCAGGGGCTCGTTCAGTTCCACCGGCATGGCCACCTTGGACAGGTCCTTCCCGATGTTGTTCCTCAGGATGTTCCACAGGCTGATGTTACTGCTGCTGGGGCAGGGTGCCGGCAGGCACGTTCTTCTCCGGGACTTCGCTTCCCCACCACTTTCAAGGACAGGCCCTGAAAGGGAAAGAGGCCTGGTTGTCCCTATAAAGCTTTTCATTTTATTCTATTATTTTTAATCCACGAAAAAAACCTTATCTAGCAAGTACTCAATGTTACTATTAAACTCAGTTGTCCAGAGTATGAAAATCGGCAAAAGAATTCTGAGCAATTAAATACTCAAACTGACACACACTAGAACCCATCGACTTTATTCACAGGGAAGACCTTGAATTGCTCCTCAAAATCTAGTTCCTCGTAGCTCATACACACTTAGAATAAAACTGGAAATTGGATTTCTATGCCTATAGCTGCTTACTGTTTATAAAAACTTGTAAAGTTTTTAAAAAATCACTTTAAATTCTGGTAAAATAATTGTGTTTATTACAGGAAAGTAATACAGGAAATAATGGTCATTTCATTGCTCCACCATCCCAAAATAGCAGCCATTTATATATTAGAGTATCTTCATTTCATGTTTTCTCCATCTGTGTTGTTCATACTGTAAGCATATTTTATATTCTGCTTGTTCAGCTAACAGAGTATTTTTCCATATTATTTAAAATTTTTCTAAAACATCAGTTTTTGCTCAATATCAGTAATCATTAGGGAAATGCAAATCAAAACCACAATGAAATATCATCTCATATCAGTCAGAATGGCAATTATTAAAAAGTCAAAAAATAATATGCTGGTGAGGTTGCAGAGAAAAGGGAACACTTATACGCTACTGGTGGGAATGTAAGTTAGCTCAGTCATTGTGGAAAGCAGTTTGGCGATTTCTCAAAGAACTTAAAACAGAACTGCCATTCAACTCAGCAATCCCATTACTGACTATATACCCAAAGGAACATATATTGTTCTACCATAAAGACACATGCACGTGTATGTTCATCACAGCACTATTCCCAACAGCAAAGACATGGAATCAGTTTCAATGTCCATCAACAGTAGACTAAGTAAAGAAAATGTGGTACATATACACCATGGAATACTGTGCAGCCATAAAAAAGAATGGGATCATATTCTTTGCAGCAACATAGATGGAGCTGGAGGCCGTTATCCTAAGCAAACTAACACAGGAAGAGAAAACCAAATGCATGTTCTCACTTGTTAAGGGGTGTTAAACGTTGGTTCACATGAATAAAGAAGGGAACCATAGACACCAGGGCCTGCTGGAATGTGGAGGGTGGGTGGAGGGTGGATAGAGGGTGAGGATCAAAAACCTACCTATTTGGGTGCTATGCTTATGACCTTGGTGATGACATAATCTGTAGAGTAAACCACCGTGATATGCAGTTTACCTGCATAACAAACCTGCACATGTACCCCGGAACCTAAGAGTTTTCTTTTAACATCATTTTTAATGACGGTAAAAATATTTTTTGCCTGTATCTTTGATTATTTTCTTAGGATACAAAGAAGTGGGATTACTCTGTCAATAACTCTGAATGTTGTTAAGACTTTTGATTCACATAATCAGACTGCTTTTCAAAAAGGCTGCCCCCAACTTCCCCATTTATCAGCAGCAGATGTGAGCATCCATCTCCTGAGGACTCTTGAGGCTTGTCATTTTCATTTTTAATTTCTGTCAGATGGTCAGGTGGACGGTGTAACCTGCTTGTTTTAGCTTACATTTAAAAGATTTCCTGTGTGGTTTGGAGTGCTTTCACGAGCACTTTTGCTTTGCTGAACTGCCTGCCTTCCTATTTATGTATTAAGACCATACTCTTTTGTTTTTATATTTGTTTTACAATTTAATCCCCACTTGGCATTTACCTTTAAATTTGCTCCATGGAGTATTTTGATGAATGACACCCATTTTAGGTATGTCAATCTATCAATCTTTTCCTTCGTTTCATGCACTGAATTTCCTATCCTCCATTGTACCTATTTTCAAATGAAATCTCTTGCATTTTGTTTTTTATTTATATATCAATAAACATACTTTATTGATATATATTTTATTAAACATACATATTTAACATTTACTAATTATAAAGCCAATCACTGAATAAAGGGGCTGCTCTGATGAACAGAAACACATGAAAACAGGGCCACACTGTGCATTTCATGTTAATCTAATCATCCATTTAGCTTTTGAATTTGTTTTGCTTTTTTAAAATTAAATTAAATGTTTTTTGAGACAGGGTTTTGGTCTGTTGCCCAGGCTGGAGTACAGTGGCATAATCTCAACTCACTGCAACCTCTGCCTCACCAGCTCAAGCAATCTTCCTGCCTCAGCCTCCCAAGTAGCTGGGACCACAGACGCATGCCAACATGCCTGGCTAATTTTTTGTATTTTTGTAGATATGAGATTTTACTATGTTGCCAAGGCTGATCTCAAACTCCTGAGCTCAAGTGATCCACCCACCTCAGCCTCCAAAGTCCTGGGATTACAGGCGTGAGCCACCATGCCCAGCCTGTTTTAGTTGCTTAATACGGGTAAATACAACATAGGTAAATAGCTGCAAATGGCAGTTTTAAAATTAATTAATTAATTATTGAGATAGGGTCCTTCTCAACAGGCTCACTCAGGCCGAAGTGCAGTGGTGTGATCATAGCTCACTGTAACCTTGACCTCTTGGGCCTAAACAATCATGCCACGTCAGTCTCCTGAGTAGCTTGGACTACAGACATGCTACATCACTCCTGGCTAGTTTTTGTATCTTTTTTTAGAGATAGGATCTTGCTATGTTGCATAGGCTGGTCTCAAACTCCTGGCCTAAAGCAATCCTCCTGCCTCAGCCTCCCAAAGTGTTGGGATTATAGGTGTGAGCCACTGTGCCTTGCCTACAGTCATTTTTGAAAACAGTTTTTCATGTAGTCTCAAAAAATTTTCTTTGATTACACTAATCTAAATTTTGAAAGAGTGTTATTCCACCACCATCATAACCACCAATACTACTAACAGCTAATACGTATCTGGCATTTTATTCTGCGACAGGCAGTCTTCTAAGCATTTTACATGCATTATTCCCACTTATCCTTTGTAACTACCACTTGTGGTAAACAGTATTATTATCCCCATTTCACAGATGAAGAAAATAAGGCATAGAGGAAGTAAGTATCTGGTCCCAGAACACACAACCACTGAGTGGCAGAGCTGGGGCTAACCAAGGAAGTCTGGTCCCTTAATCCACATTCTTAACCACTTAACTTCCCCAAAGTACCCAGCATAGAGACAGATCCTAATATGTGCCCAGCAGCATTGTGGGGAAGAAATTTATAGGAAATAGTCTAAAAATCTCATGTTTACTATAAACTCAAACAATAATAGTGTATCAAGACCTTGGTCCTAATGTAGGCAAAATGATGCTATGAAATGTAAAGGTTATTTCTGTATCCAATCTTTTCAGTAGAGTATTGATGCTTAGAAATATAATCTCCCCCAAACCCTGGGAATGTCTGTAAAGAACTGGGGGACACACATTTCTAGTATTCAAACACTGACAAAGAAGAAAGCTGGGTTTTGCCCAGTGCTTGTTCAAGAAAGGCAATGTAGGCCAGGCATGGTGGCTCACACCTGTAATCCCAGCAATTTCAGAGGCTGAGGCGGGTGGATTACTTGAGGCCAGGAGTTCAAGACCAGCCTGGCCAACATGGTGAAACCCTATTTCTATTAAAATACAAAAAAATTAACTGGGCATGATGGTGTGTGCCTGTAATTCTAGCTACTCGGGATGCTGAGGCACAAGAATTGCTTGAACCCGGGAGACAGAGGTTGCAGTAAACCGAGATCGCACCACTGCACTCCAGCCTGGGTGACAGAGTGAGAATCTGTCTTCACACACACAAAAAGGCAATGTTAGTTAGCATTCTAGCAACATGGCTGTAGAGTACGATAGAACCAGCTCTAACCTCTAAGCTTTTCCTGGCTGGTGTCAACACAGCATAGCTGTGGTCTTAGGTTCTGAACCATGTCCTCTCTTTATCTTTGACCTCTGAACACTCCATTAACTCTGTACTCCCTATGGCTCCCTCTCTATAAGACTCAAAGAAATGGAGGGCTTCCACATTTGTCAATCCTCCTCATCTACGGTGGGAGCACCACTTTAGTGTGCGTGCTGTTTGCCAAGGGAGTGATGCTTCTTCATTTCTCTTTCAACTTGCCTCCTTGTTTTTCTAGGAAAATAAGTAGCACACAAATTTGCTCCGGTGTTTTTGGCCTTCTTCTTCCAACCCACTGGTTCTTAGACTTTTCCACTAAGGGGTTCATCTCCCAAGAAACATTTCAAACAAAACACCAACCATGATGAGCATCTCACTTCTAGCAGGTGTGATACGGAAAGGATACTCTTCCAAAGCATGGTAAAACTACCTGCTTTCTTCCCCTATACTGCGGTCCCCCAAAAGGTGGCTCTTAAGCATTCAGGTAACAATTCATCAGTTCACACATACACAATGAATTGAAGAACACTGAACTATCAAAAAGGTGCCTGGCATGGTCCCTCTCCTCCGTGTAGATATGAAAATAGGTGGTGCTTTGAGTATCCGATGCATAGTGCAGACAAACCTAGAGACTCCAAGGCAAACTGAGTACCAACACTGGTAAGTGTTTGATGCTACAAGGACCCACGCAGGGAACTGTCCAGGTGGGCAGATTCTTTTTAAGGGCACCTTCCTAAACAGGCCAGTCTGCTTACTAAAGTCCTAAATCAGAGCTAAAGTTTAGGGGGCTAGCCAGACACTCCAGATATTCCACAGTTCGAACTAGCATTATGAAATATCTTTCCTGCCCATCATTTCCCTTCTTGGGATCAAGCAGTAATAAAGGGTCATCTTAGGATACCCTGAGGGGTCCATCCAAGAGGTAGCCATTTGTTACTTTCAAATGTGTTGTTTTGAAGAATCTGAAGCTAAATGACGACTTGGATAATATCTTTTATTATATAAGTCCTATCACATTCCTAAATTATAAAACCTCCCTGATTTCTAAGGGCAAAAAACCATATTCTAACATGTCCACAGAGAGAACATTAGACTGCAAAAGGGATATCTGGGCCAGGCACGGTGGCTCACGCCTGTAATCCCAGCAGTCTGGGAGGCCGAGGCAGGCAGATCACTTGAGGTCAGCAGTTCGAGACCAGCCTGGGTAACATGGTAAAACCTCATCTCCACCAAAAAATACAAAAATTAGCTAGGTATGGTGGTGCGTGCCTGTATTCTCCAGTTACTCCAGAGGCTGAGGCAGGAGAATTGCTTTAACCCGGGAGGCAGAGGTTGCCGTGAGCCAAGATCGTGCCATTGTACTCTCCAGCCTGGGTGACAGAGCGAGACTCCATCTCAAAAAAAAAAAAAGTATCTGTTACGTTTTTTATATTCATATAATTGGCATACACTCACTTTATAAAAATAAAAATTTGTACAAGCAGACAAATTTATTTGAATTAATACATCTTTCACATGTGGGTGCTGTCTCCTCTCCTAGATTATAAAATCCTAGGGGGTGGGGTCCATGTCTTAGTTTTCTTACATAGTACTTGCTAGAGCTCTTTGCTTGTAGCAGGTCCTCTACACCGTTCACCCTTGAACAACACAGATTTGAACTGCATCAGTCCACTTGTATACAGGTGTTCTTCTGCCTCTGCCACCCCTGAGAAGGCAAGACCAACCCCTTCTCTTCTTCCTCCTCCTCAGCCTACTCAACATGAAGATGACCAGGATGATGACCTTTATGATGATCCCCTTAATGAATTGTAAGTATCTTTTCTGTTCCTAATGACTTTCTAAATAACATTTTTTTCCTCTAGCTTACTTTATTGTAAGAGTACAGTCTCAAATACACATAACACACAAAATATGTGTTAATTGAGTGTTAGTAGTTAAATCTTTGGGGAGTCAAAAGTTATACATGGATTTTCATCTGTGTGGGGTATCAGCATATACCCCTGAACCCCCATATTGTTCAAGAGTTAACTATACAACATATTAGTATTCTATGAAAATCCAAACTTTTCAGAGATTCAATAATGTAAATCTTACCCAAAGTCTGTCTCTCATTATCTAAATCATTACTGAGATTATCTAAGGAAAGATTATCACTTATGTCACTGACGTACGAGTCATCATCAGAAATCTATGGGAAAGAAGAAATAACATTCATTTGAGTTAGAATAAACAAGAGCGAGATTTTCATAAAACCCTTAAAAATGATCAGACATGATGAGTCCCACACTATAAATACTCTTGGGTACTGTTTTCATAAAGGTCCATATACCAATCTGCCAAGGAGGTGTTCACAACAAATACCTGTTCTTAAAATTCGTATACATTCTGAATTAGTTCTCACAAGAAAAACGGCAAGCAAGCTCAAGACTGTTATTATAAAGATTCTTATTCTGACTGTATTTTTAGAATTTATTAGTGTTTGAGTAGAAGGAGTTACAATTTGTCTTTGAGCTATTGGTGTAAAAAGTATCTTCTATGGGAATTAATACATAAACAAGATGACTATGTCTATATTTAAGGGGTAACATTACTAGTACACACTGACACAAAGCAATATTAACTATAATACTATAATAACTGCTATTCAGGAAAGTATAATTGTTATGCATCAATTTAAAACAAATAATGCTATAAACCAATATTACAATAACCACACTATGAAAAAAATATAATTATTATATATTATAAATCAATGTAGGTTAAATTTCATGATTAAGAAACATACAGGATGCTAATTTCCTTCTCTGCAGTAGACATATTACATTATTAAATAGGTAGAAGTCAAAATTATTAACCTGTACTTGAAAAGAAATATAGCACTTCGAGAGGCTGAGGCGGGTGGATCACTTAAGGCTAGGAGTTCGAGGCCAGCCTGGACAATATGAGGAAGCCTGTCTCTACTAAAAATACAAAAATTGGCTGGGCATGGGGTGCACGCCTGTATCCCCAGCTACTTGGGCGGCTGAAGTGCGAGAATTGCTTGAACCTGGGAAGCAGAGGTTGCAGTGAGCAGAGATCACACCACTGCACTCCAGCCTGGCTAATAGAGTGAGACTGTGTCTCAAAAAAAAAAAAAAAAAAAGAGGCCAAGCACAGTGGCTCACACCTGTAATCCCAGCACTTTGGGAGGCTGAGGCAGGCGGATCACCTGAGGTTAGGAGTATGCGTTTGAGACCAGCCTGGCCAACATGGTGAAACCCCAGTCTCTACTAAAAATACAAAAATTAGCCAGACGCAGTGGTGCATGCCTGTAGTCCCAGCTACTTGGGAGGCTGAGGCTGGAGAATCACTTGAACCCGGGAGGCGCAGGTTGCAGTGAGCTGAGATTGCGTCACTGCACTTCAGCCTGGGCAACAGAACAAGGCTCCGTTTAAAAAAAAAAAAAAAAAGTGTAACAAATTTAACACATCAAGTTACAGAAATGAGAAAATATCCAATGCTCTCTACTTTTACTTTTTCTTCTCACATACAGTATCATTTTTGGGTATGAGTTATGATAGAACTCTCAGAATACAATGACTAAAAAGGGCCACTGAGTTTAGTGTTTCTGATTATGGACTGTTTACTGAACAGATTAACCAGCAAAGCAACAAGAGAGATTTTTGAGGCACCTAACTGTAAACATTGCTCAAACCTCATTTTCTGAAGAGCTTGGAGATAACAGAACTTCCTGAGCATCAAAAAACTCGGAAAGGGAGTCAGTGATGGAGAGTCTACTTTCATTAGAAAGCTGATGAACTAGAGCTCGGTTTTCATCTCGGGAGTTTTCCTATTTGAAAAACAAAACCAAAAATGTATACATTTAGAAACATTCTCAAGAGAAAGAAAATAAGTGATTTAGTTGCACAATACACAAGGTCACAGGCCCATGCAAATAAGCAACTCAAAGCAGAGGTCAGCTCCAACACTGAGAAGTGAGCCTCATGCAAAACACAAAGTTCTCCCCCAGTATGGGCACCTCACTTACAGGCACTATCACTTCTCACACACATGCAACAAATCACAAGGCAAAAAACAACTGTCCAGGTCACTCTTTGTTCCATTTAAAAAGGGAAAAATTCCAATGCTCTCTGAATCATATCCTCTTATTCGCTACCACTGCTGGATGTTTCTTTTAATACTAAAATCTCCTCTGCATTGCACTGAATGCATGTCCTTGCATGGCTGGTTCACAGCAACATTGCTTTCTTCTGCCTCTATGCTCTCTGAAGGAACAATATGCTGCTTTGGCTTTTGTCAAGGTGTCCCTTGACAAATACACAGTGTGTTTTGGTCCAGAAGCACCCTGGTAGCAGATAATTTATTATTCATGGATGAATGATATAAGTTCTCTTTGTCTGTCTCTTTCCACCCACAATGACTCTGCAAGGAAAGGAAGTCCCCAGTCCTCTTTATAAGCCTCTGTACAAATAACACAACAGAATATCATTGTTTTCTCATCTCGCATGACCCTCCATTCTCCACTCCGCTGGGTCTGGACTTTCCCTCTGGGGAGGACTAAAGTGCTGAGCTGGCCATGGCAGGATATAACAATGAACCAGACAACGTTTGTGGACTGAATGAGTGGTGAGAAAATGCATCCAACACATATCAGACCAGGCCTGTGGAATAGACAAAGTGCTGGCAAAGTGGAGAGATTGATTCTGATTAGAGAGATTTTGTTTGGGCAGGGCTTCACAGAGCTGGCAGTTGAGGAAAAAGAACAGATTCAGGACAGGATGATTTGATTTCTTTCAGAGTAGACAGGTAGTAGTAAAACCACTCACATTTTTTATTGGGATAACAAAGGAGTTGCTTCCATGTCATCCAGAACAATTGGGGGAAAAGGCAGATTATATCTTGCCCAGAAATTGTCTGAATTCAGGACATACCCCTCAGTCTCACAGGGAGGGGATGCCACGCACAGGAGGGCCAGAGCAGATTTTCGTAATAAAAGGTCCCTTTACAAATTGGTTGCTTCTGTTTGTAAATATGTATCTACAAACTGTTGAAATATATATCCTTTTCCTAAATAAGGCATCTGCCCAAAGTATTAATGATCCTACCCATTTTAATACCCATGTAGCCTTCTGAAAACCTAGCCTCTTCTCTACCCTAACAAAGAGATCACTTTAGAATCTGTATCACAGCTGTTAACTTCAAGGAAAAGGTCTCTCTCCGCAAAAGAGCCAGACATAAAGCTATCGAGTTTGAAAACATCTTAAGGAACAGCTTCTGTAACACTCACTCAAACAACAGAATTGTCCTATGTCTTCTGTGTGCTCCTGTCACAAGAGATGCTCATGATTTATTTACTTGTTCTACTCATTAATTTATTACTAGTCACTCCCGCTCTCTCTGTATCTTCCTCCTCCTAGACTGATGGGTCCGAAGGATTTACTGGCTGACCAACACTGAAAATAATACTCCTAGCCCCTAGCCCTTTCTGGTGTCTTCCTGTATGTACTGAAAACTCATCAGCACTGCTGCAGCTCCAAGTCTCCAGCTTGGTGTCTTAAACAACTCAGGACCTCATTTGTTAAAATATTAACCCAGTCAGTTCAATTCAATAATTTCCTTTCACATATGTAATGCATGACTGGTTGCTTATCTATTGCTTACATTACAAAAAGTTAAATCAAGGATGTCCAACCCACAGCCCGGGGGCCACGTACGGCCCAGGACGGCTTTGAATGTGGCCCAACACAAATTTGTAAACTTTGTTAAAACATTATGAGATTTTTTTGTGAATTTTTTTTTCCTGGCTCATCAGCTGTTGTTAGTTAGTGTATCTTATGTGTAGCCCATGACAATTCTTCTTCCAATGTGGCCTAGAGAAGCCAAAAGATTGGACACCACTAAGTTACATAAACAGAGAGAAAGGAGGGAAAGGAAAATTCACAGTTCACACTATAACAACCACTACAAGCATTTTGATACATTTTTCTTGTGAAATAATCATGCTATTTTCATATCTCTATATATGTAATTTTATAAAGTTTGCCCAAACAACATTGCAAGATAGTTTTTTTTCAAAATTAAAATGCATTCTGAAAACAAAAATATGTATTCAAACAGAAAATTAAAAAATGCAAATAAATATCACTTCAAGTCCCATTGTATGAATGTGAGAGTGGATGTGGCCCCTATTAACTTGCTGGTATTTTCATATTAAAATATTTGTGTACAAATTTTATTTTGAAAAACTGGGATAGACAGTTTACATATTGTTTGCTTTATTCACTAACCATTATATTGTGAACATTTCCCAGACCATTCAAAATTCTTTGAGACAATGAACTTTAATTGATAAATATTTTATTATATATTTGTGTCACAGAGTAATAAAATCAGGTATGTTTACAGATTTGCAAAAATGGTTTAGTATGTTTGTAAATATATCTTTGCTTGTATCATGTTATTTCTTAGAATCAAGTTTTGGAAGTAGAATTATTAATAACCTTTAAGGCAAAATATATATTACCTAATCACATCAACAAGTAAGGAAACCTCTGTTTTTTCTATATTAAAGGCACTACATACCATAATTTAGAAAACTTTTGAGCTAATCTGTTTTAATTTTCATTAAGCTGAATAGTTACTCCTTTTTAAAAAACAAGCTTGTAGAGATGTTAATGTAGGGAGAGGCTGGATGAAGGGTTCATGGGACCTCCCTCTGCATTTCTTCGTACTTCCCTGTGAATTTACAAATATTGCAAAATAAGTTAAAAAAAAAAAAAGAAAGAAAGAAAAAGAAAAAAAAGAAAACCCATACCTATCTCCCTCTCTCTCTCTCTCTCTCTTTCTCTCTCTCCCCCCTCTCTGTGTGTGTGTGTGTGTGTGTGAGAGAGAGAGAGACAGAGAATTATGGCCTTTTTCCATTTACTTATTAAAGTTTTAAGTTACTTGATATTATTTGTTCATTGGTTACATATGAAAAACATTATCACTGATTTAGCACTATCTCAGTCTGTCAATTTCACTGAAAATATTTTTCCCAGTCTATTATTTGTCTTTTTTTTTGACACACATTACTTTTTCCTAAAAGACAGTCAGATCTAATCAACATTTCTTTTGCAATTTTTTTCTATTGTACCCCAATTTAGAAAATCTTCTCTATTCTAGCAGTTTGATATTTACATTAATTATTTTTCAGTTTGAATTTTTATATTTAACTTGAATTTGCTTTTGATTCATTTTAGCATGCAATGAAGATTTAAACTTCTTTTTAAATTGCTTTGAGCAGGGCATGGTGGGTGGTGAGTGCCTATAATCCCAGCTACTTGGGAGGCCAAGGCAGGAGGATTGCTTGAGTCCAAGAGTTCAAGGTCAGGCTGGGCAACTCCAAAATAATGGTAATTAATAATAATAATGTAATAAACTTCTTTGAGCTGTGCCAACCTAATTTATTAAATAATCCATCTCTTTGCCATTGGTTTTTGATGCCTTTTCGAACCATAATCTTTATTTCTTTTATATACAAAATAATGTCTATGCCTAAGAGAGTTACTCCGTCCCATTCTTACCCATCATCACCTTATTTTAACTGCTGGAGCTTCAATGAGTATTTTATTTTCTGGCTTGGCATACTGTTCTTCATTATCTAGCAGTGTACACTATTGAGAAAGGAATTGCTTTGGCCTCATTAGATGTGAATTTAAATCCCAGCTCTGTCTGTTACAAGCTGTGTGTCTGGAGGAAGTTATTTAACCTCTCTGAGTTTTAGTTCTGTTGTTTCTCAAATGAAACCACCACCACCCACCTCACAGAGTCATGGTTAGGATTCTGTGAGGTAATGCATTCAAGTGCATACTGATATAGCAAGCAGACAATTAAAAGAATTAAGTTCCCTTCTCTTCCAGACTTTTCTTTAAAAGTTTTGGCCTTTTTTAGTCTCTTAAATGGACATTGGATATAGTATGGTGTTACCTCCCAAAGTCACTTGCCCTTTCATTTGGAACCTAAAATAATCTGAGAACTGATAACTTGATAATATTAAATCTTCACATTCAGGAATATAAAACAGGAGAAATTTGGAGGTTGTGGAGTAATTTGATTTTTAAAAAGGTGGGCATTTTAGAATTCAATTAGCCAGGCCCAACACCAAAGATGGGTAATATATGCCGCTAAAGAAAAGGTAACAAAGTGAGCAAAGAAAGTGAGAGTTCTAAAAAGAGAGCACCTTGGGCTGACCCCATTGTTGGAGACTGTCATTTCCCAATAGAGTATCAGAGGTAACAGAGTTACTGGAAAAAAGTTAACTGGAGTCAAGTTTTCAGTCTGGGAGGCCATTTTCACTTACTTTCCTACTTATGTCCTGAAGGCAACAATAACTTTACCTTTGCTGGGAAAGTTAGCCTGAGTCACTCCATGATAAAAGGGATAAAAATAAGGGAAACAGAAAATTTCTGAAAGAGGAAATAGATACAGATGACAACTGCATCTAGACTCAAGAAGGCTGTTTTGGAAGGTGTATGTTTGAAGAATGTTATTGTTACCTCTCAAGGACAGTGTACAGCATTTCAGTTCAGGTATGTTACTTTTAAGATCAGTTTTAAAATATGCATTTTAAATATATAGTTTAAAAACATGTATTTTAAAAGACTTGTGATTTTGGTTTCCTTTCCAAAACACAAACAGTTCCAAGTAGACATGCCAAGCATAAATTCATAAAAGAATAAATGAAGGTTATGTATTTAATTACCTGTTCAATAAGTAAATTGTGATAATACTATTAAAAAGGTAAATAACTGTCTGAAAACATGCACAAACTCCAGAGAATACTATAGTAAGTGGCAGCTGGTCAGTAATGGCTGATCCTGGCCATGACTGGGTCCTGCTTTTAGAAAATGTGCAGATTCAAAAGAGGGCCTGCCCAGGCCTAAAGTCAAGGCGCCGTAAGTAATGTTTAGGTGCTCAATGCTGCAGGTGACAGTTTAGGTCTGGGCTAAAATATCTGAAAAGTGACCTCTTGGGGGGTAGCATTTCTATAAAGGAATGTCATACTTAACCACTAGCATGTGCCTCAGAAGTAGTAGAGCCCCATGAGCTTCTGTCAGACAGAGGGTGAGGCTCATGAGAGCGGATGGGCCTGTTCACACATGGCACCATATGGTCTCCAAATGGGTTCGGTGCCCGGGGCCCTACAGTCCATATACTGACTGACTTCAGCCTCAACTCGCCTCACCACCCAGCACAATGGCTTCCCAAGGAGTGAAGGTGTGTGAGGGGTTTGGTTTTTTTCTGAGGACAGGAAAAGAAGGATGAAGGATTATGATTAAACATTACAAACTTCTTTTAAAAACTTATATAAACACACACCTCTTGTCTATTACCTGCCTTATATTTTTTATTTTAAGTGTACTCAGTCTAATTCATTTCTTAATAAAAATTTAGCATATCTGAAGCAGGCATATAATATAAAAAATAGCTTAAAAACAGTTTTTATTTTCATTACTCTTTCCTACTTATTTTTTGAGTAACCTACTTGTACTTTTCTGAAATTTCTCATTTTAAACATGCAAAGACTATTTTGGATAAACATCCCTAGTCTTGAGGAAAGAACTTTTTAACATACTTTTAACTGACCAAGAGACACTTTAATTGTAATGAAGTATTTTTTTCCCTCAGAGTGTACAGCTGCATTCTATAAAAGAAAAATAAAATTGCAGAAAAGGGAGACGGGAACGGCCACAGAGAAAGGGCTAGAGGGGGAGGAGGCTGGCAGGGAACCAAGATACTGCAGGTCAGAGTAATGTAGGTTTCTTCAGTAGTAACAAGAGAAAATGTTTCTCTCTCTATAGTTCCTACTCCAGTACCACTTAGTGAAAGGAGTGACATTTAGGAGCGAAACAGGGTGAAGAAATACAAAAGAAAGAAGAGTTCAGGGGTAGGGAGCAGTTTAAAAATGCAATTAGCAGCATACGCTCAAGAAAGCGTTTGAGCCCGAGACCCCAATCCATGAGCCAGCTGCGGCCAGCACCCAGAGGAGGAGGGCAGAGAGGTGAACAGCACCCACGAGGGGAAGCAGGGAGGCCGTGCAACTGGACAGATGGTATCACAGGAGCGGGTGGCAGCTGAGGAGACATTACCAGACGAGAAACCTACCCACCTCTGCCAGATTGTCACCCGACTTGGCAACAGCGGGGGAGTCGAGGAGCAGAGACTCGGCATGGATTCTGCGTAAGCGTTCTTTAAGATCTGTGTTTTGTGCTAGGGCCTGGAACATGTTAAAATAGTGGGGCTCTGTTAATAAATGGGGATGTTTCAGAAAAGCACAGCAGTGGGCCCTGCAGGAGCAATCTCTAAGAGCTTGATGAAATTCCAGGTGACGTGGTCTGAGAGCACACTTTCTGGACTTTTTCCTTGAATGCTCTCCAAGAGGATACTGGTTCTGAGATGCCTGGGAGATGACACACTGGAGGTTCTGGAAATGATGCTCCTTCTCTTTTCTCATTCCAGACATGGAAGGAGGGTTGGTAAGCGTGACAGAGAGGGAAGTCACAGACACTGTCAGCTTCTGTTAAGACCGGTGGTCTGGAGTCTCTTTGGTCAAATCCCTTCCTAAGGAATCCAGGCTTCTATCAGCTTTGAAGAATACGCTGTCCCCACCCCTTATGATTGGACATATTTCAATGTTACTTAATTATCATACCCATTGAATCAGATATTAGAAAGTGTGCTGGAGGCCGGGCATGGTGGCTCACACTTGTAATCCCAGCACTTTGGGAGGTGGAGGCAGGCAGATTACTTGAGGTCGGGAGTTCGAGAACAGCCTGGCCAACATGGTGAAACCCCATCTCTACCAAAACATACAAAAATTAGCTGGGCGTAGTGGCGCATGCCTGCAGTCCCAGCTACTGGGGAGGCTGAGGTGGGAGAATTGCTTGAACCTGGGAGGCTCACAGACGTTGCAGTGAGCTGAGATCACGGCCTGGGTGACAGAGTGAGACCCTGTCTCAAAAAAAAAAAAAAGAAAGAAAGAAAGAAAGTGTGCTGTGTGCTGGGAAGTAGGACTTTGTGAAAGATTTTTATTCTTTTCCAATATGAGTATTGATTGTTCTATTCATTCTTCAGGACCAAGGCAATTTATTTCAAAAAAGAAATGAGTAAACCTCACTTACCTGCATAAGGGCTTAAGGACCATGGCTCTGGGAATGGGTAAATGTGAGATAAAAAGCGCATCTGAGACTACCCCAGGTCTCCTTTGTATTTCCCTGGGCAGGCCCCATTCCTTATCTCAACCTCTCAACTAGGAGGAAAGTGACTGAAAGGTAAAGGAAGCTACTTCTTTCACGTTGATACTCCTGTGCACTTCATGACCAACTGTTCTCCAATGGTCTGTCTGTGGAAGGGGATAAGTTCTCCTGACTGTCTTCCCAGACACTCACAGGATCAGCTCCATGGGTGCTTGCATGCAGATTCAGCCTATGTGTCTGTGTTCCTGACTCTTTTCTAAGAAGCTCTGAGCCTTTTCCATCCACCAGGGCCTGCAGGACTGACCTGCTGAAAGCACAGAAGGATGTGGCACTGCCTAATCCTCTACCTGGATCTCCAGCAGGGATGCTGGCTTTATTTTTCAGTCCCCGCAGAACATATGGGTTATTTGAAAATCCTTGAGGACCACTTAAGAAGCACTGTACAAGAGCTAAGATCACACAACCACATGTAACAATCTCTCTGGAGTACTCACTTTATTCTGGCCAATGTGTCAGTGGTACGGAGGCTAGAATCTTAGTACAGCCTGAAAATTGTGCTATTTTATTAGTTTTTCTTTCCTTTGTAAGCCACAGGCAGAAGAAGAAAACATAGCAACACTGTACATACAGCACTGACATACCCATTCTGATAGCTCTTATGTGGTTCTAAAAGTTTTATTTTCAAAAAACAAGTCTTAAACCCAATTGTGAATCCAAGCCAAAAAGGAAAGAAAGGATCATTCAGTTTTATCCGAGATTTCCAAAATCATGAATATGGGTGAGAATGAATTCCTTAGTGAGGGTGAGAACAGCCTTGGCCTAGGATACCACAGCCAAATAGGTCTCAGTGGCCAGACAGGCAGATTGACAAGATGAGGCCAGGCTTCTGTGGGAGGAAGCAGGGAGAGGAAGATCACGGGGAAAGGGGCCTTGGAAGCCCATCAGAGGTACCTTTTGTAAATACACTAAAAGCTAGCTTAATGGGAACAATAAGAAACTCAGGAAAAAAAACCAAAAACACTTTGCTTCTGCTTCTGTCAAACCAAAATGGCACCCAGTGTATGGCTGTCTGCTACAATAAAAAGGGGGCGATTCTATCTGTGACCTTAAGACAACATTAAGACTCTTTTTATATATGGAGCAAGCCAATGTTATTTTTAATTTCTTTTGAAGATAGCATACTTGGAATGGTCCATGAGTGAATATTCCTTACATATTCTACAACAACTATATGTGTTACTGGCAAAGGATTTATCACTAACATTATATCAAAAGCATCACTTTTCTTAGCAATACGATGAATAGAAAATATGAATCAACATTTTCTAGTTCTCTCAATGCCTGTGTTGGCTTCTGGTTACAAGATCCTAAAATTCATCTCCCCTACCTGACCTGAAATAGAAAATTCAGTATTGCTTCAGATGGTGATTTCATATGTGCACACATTCTTTCTTTTTCTAAAGTAGTAATACCAAAGTACAGGAAAAGAGTAAAACCAAATCAGTATGATATTTCAAAAGTTCTCTAGCCTCCTAATAGATGTAGGGTAAAAAAAAAAAATCCGGATAACTTTATTCAAATCGAGGTAGGACATGGCACTTTAATGGAGCCTAACTATTCTGAAGAATTAATTGAAACTGATGAAAAAAAAAGAGAGAATGAGTGACAGAATGGCTGAGAATCATTTGGGACCATGTCAGTGATTTTCCTGTTACTATGAAGGTATAGTGATTGCCTGACAGGCACTTTCATGTGACTCATCTCTTTGTAGCCACAGCAGGTGGGGCGGGGTGGGGAAGCTAAATGCCTTGTACTATCCAATCAAACAAAATAGCTCTCATGTCTTTCAAAGAGTAGTAAACAGGATCAGTGCTTTGCAATAGAGAAGGTAAGAGCATGATCTGGAAATTTCACTCTGCCACCTGTCATTTGGAAAGTAAGGCTAAACTTGTGGTGTCTCATGCCAATAAAATTTCCTCCAAACTGTCAGATTTTGTAAGCATTAACAGAAAAATGTCTGTAAGACATGCACACATACACACAAAAACGTACAATAAAAATGTTAGAGAAACAAAAAAATTTAGATCAGTCAGAGGAAACCAAACTTAAAGAAGGTATCACTTAATAAAATACTAGCTATTAAGAATTGGATAGGCAAGTTTTGGTGTATAAACAGATTTGATGAAAGGTTACAATATAATTCGGATAATTTGGTTTTCTCCTGAATTTTCAACACAACCATGGAAATAGAAATTACAAAACATTCATGAGCCTGGACACATCTCAGGCATTCCTGGATGCAGACATGTAACTTACAGATGACAGGGCATTCTTCAGACCAACGACCTGAGCAGATGGGGAGGAGGAGGCATCCTGCTCCATCAGCTGCTTCAGTTTCTCTCTCTCCGCTGACATGTTATTAAAAGCTGACCTTAAAGTGAAGTAAACTATAGAGATATAATCATTATAAAAAGGAATAAGGAGGCATAATTAAAAACAAAATACCGTAAAAAAACTATCTCTTTTAAAAGAAATAAGCAAAGTAACAGCCCTGAATATTTTGAGTGTAGCAAATGCACACTCTACCTTGACTTTTGAAAAACACATTTGCCATGTAAAACACTCTAATGTAAACTAAGGCCTCTGGATGATGATGTGTCCACGTAGGTTCATCGACTGTAAGAGATGCAGTACTCTGGTGTGGGATGCTGATGGCAGGGGCACTGTGCCTACATGGGAGCAGGGGGCTTATAAAGGCTATGCACTTTTGGTTCAATTTTGCTGTGGACCTAAAATTGCTCGAAAAAAATTAAGTCTATTAAAACTAACTCCCATTCACACACATCTGGCAATTCTAAGGCCCCTATCCACTATAACGTCTCATGACTTTATGACTTATCATCAGGATATTTTGACATTTGGACTTTGCTTCTGGATCGTCAATGATCTGTGTTTTGTTTTGTTTGTATCCCCAAAGACTGGAAAGGGTTAAAAACAAAGCTTATTGGTTTTTCAGGGGAAATGTTAACACTGCAGCAGAAAAATTAGCACCTTAATCAGGTGATTAATATTAACTATCGGTGAGACTCAGGTGGACCATGTGCCTCCAGGTAAAGTACGCTGAAAAAGATACAACATCTCCTTTGGTGCATACCAGCCAGGGCTATGTAATCCGAATTTGATCATGAGGAAACATCAGACAACCCCAGAATGAGAAGTGTTTTATTTTTAAAAGTTGGCCTATACTATTCAGAAGTGTCAATTTTATGAAACAGAAAGAAAGGCTGAGGAACTGTTCCCAATTAAAGGAGGCAAAAGAGATATGACAATGAAATTGACTCAAGGGGCAACATGATACTAAAGGCATTATTGGGATAACTGACAGCATTTGAATATGGAAGGTAGAATAGATAAAATTGTTTCAATGCTGTATTTCCTGAATTTGATTACTATACTGTGGTTATATAACAGAGTATTCCTATTTTATATACTACAGTATAAAGCCATGAAGAACAATGTGTATGAATCCTACTCTCAAATGGTTCCGAAAAGTGAAAGTGTGTATGTAGAGAGAGTGATAAAATAAATGTGGCAAATATTTAAAATGAAGTATTTGGGTAAAGGGTATACAGAAGTTCTCTGTATAATTCTTGCAACTTTTCTATAAGTTTGTCATTGTTTCAAAACAAGGTCTTATTGTCTACCTTCTTGCTTGTTAGCCCTTCCAGCTGCAGGAGCCAGAATCCCCCAGCTCTAACCCTGGCATTCAGCTACTCTGTTCCTGAGTGAGCACTCAGGTACAATGAGGGCTTAGCCACTATGGCCTCCAATGCCTGAACTGAAGTTTTAAAAAACATTAACACATACAGCAAAAAAAAAAAAAAAAAAAAAATCATTATTCATTAGGTTTTGATCACATCATGTACAAATTACTTCCTAGAGATGAGGAAGCTGTTATCTAAATTACTGATCGTGGCTATCACATTTCAATATTATCTTTCCAATCTCCTTGATTATATTTTGTTTTAGAAGAGCAGGAAGACGGAAGAGACTCAGACACATGTCTTCTCAAATGACCTAGCACATTACTGAATTCCACAGGGCTGCATTTTTAGAGGTATTGTTATTCAAGAGTGGCCTATTTAGTAACACAGAAACTAAATAGGCATTATTGACTTACTTCATTTAATAGCAAAGAGGACAACTAAACCTCTCTATATGTTGTTGCTGAACTTGCCTGAGGTTGTGGCATTTAGTGATGGACATGAAACATCTTAACAAAGTCACAATTTGTGTACACACACACACACACACACACACACACACACACACAATGGTGCTGCCTCTGCCAAGAGAAGATGGGGGTCAAATGGAACTAAAATTTTCTAGCAATGCCTATGAAACACACTTAGCTCTTTGCTTTAAACAATTTAATTGAGCAAAATAATAGGCAGGACAACAGAGTGACCAACAGCTGGGGCTCCACCATCAGCCCTGGATTCTTCCCTACTCCATCATCTATTCACTCCATGACCTTGGATGAGTAAATGATGTGCCTGAACTCCAGTTTCCACATTTGTAAATGGGGATAATAACTTTTACTTTAAATGGTTGTCATGAGGATTGAATGAGAGAGAGAATGCAGGTAAAGCACATAACACAATGCATGGTATGTAATAAATAACAAGTGTTACTGCAATAATCATAGTGATACCAATGAAGGAAACACATGAGGATGAAAGTGATGGTGACTGCAGTCTCTTGAAACGTTGGCAGCAGCTCTAGAGGACGCTTTAATCTTTTGCCAGGACAAAGCTTGTAAATAATTGCACACAGGGTAGAAATTCTAGGAATGAGGGGTTGGCCAGAATCCATGGAGTCGTAGGAGAACAGCCACAGGAGGAGCGCAGAAGCCACACAGTTACGGACTACATCCTGTGTCCTATTAGATAGGCACTATGCCCCTCCCCTGCCTGCCACACACACAAGATGCCCATGGCCATCTCAGCGGATCCCCCAGGGAGCTACCTCTCCACTGTCCTGTTTATTGCTCCAAATAAAATAAATGTGGCACTCAGCTGGCTGCCACTTTTCCAAATCAATTCCTCTGGCTTCCAGGTGACCCACAGAAAAGCAAGGCTTTCCACCAAATGAGAAGAGTCCTATATAAATTTTTAAAACTGGCAGAATATACAATATTTGGTTCAAAAGGTACAGCTGACAAGATTGCAGCAGGTGTAAGATAAGCAGAAAGAAACTCATACAGTCATTATATTTTATTGTAAGGTATAAAACGCTTCCTAAATCATCTGAAAAAAGGGTTTGGAAGACTAGATCCCCGTGTACTAAATTTCTTAAACGACTATTAAGGCCCACTCAGGATGTTAAAATAGTCATTCACAGCCACCTAACGATCCGCCACACACAGGGCAACGATCAGAGGTTGCTCATGAGAGACCCCACATTTACATTAATTAAGACACCGGATCCCAAAAGTCAGGAACACTCTCTGTGACAGGAGTGTTTTCTTACTTATTTCTAACACGAATCTAAGTCTACTAAAGACAAATAAACAGCCTTAAAAAATAGAAGATTCAAATGAATGCATCACATCTATGGTTACCTGACAATAAATAAAGCCACACAGAAAATCTTAGCTGCTCGGAGGTATGAAGGACCTCATAGATTATCAAAGCCACCTACCCACAACACGACCAACTCTTCACATCTCCAGCTTCCCTGCCAAATGGTCTGTTGGCTCATGCTTGTCAGAGCACTTGCTATCTCCTAAAATGGTACATTGTGCTCTGGGACTTAGAAAGTCCTTCCTGCTGCTAAGACATTTGCCTCAGTGTCTCTTCACTGTCAAACAGGAGGTATTTCCTCTTTCATTGGGTGTTCAAATGTCGGAAGGCAACTGTGGCATCTATGTTTATTTATCTCTTTCCCAAATTGTCATTAGCCACTTCTCAGATACCCTTCCTGGACTACGAGAGGCAGGCACAGGTTGAGTCTTTGATTATAAGAAGTCTTGAGTTGCATCTACAGAATGGAACATCATAAGCATCGCACAAGTGACTCTTGGTGGTCACTACTTTTCTGTTTCTAAGGCTTCCAAGCTGTTCTTTTATTGAGTTAGTATGGTGAGACTAAAGTAGATGGAATGTTTGGATAGTGAGAGTCAATACTGAAGGACAGGTGGACTCAATTTATCTGAGCTCTACTTCTTAATATGCTCCTTCTTTAGCAGTTTCTCAGCATCAGGAAAGAATAAGATCTTGGAGAAAGCAGTTATGAATGTCATGGGCACTGCTCTAGAAAGCAGTGTGGTACAGGAGAAAGAAATTCTCTAATAAGGCCAGCCAGAAGTTAAATCCTACCTCTAACACTTAGTTGCAGTTGCCATTTATATTTTGGACAAATCCTTGGTTTCTACATCTGTACATGTAGATAATGGGCACATCTGAGGAGTGCTTTAAGCAAGGAGAAAACCTACTATCACAGAGCACCTAACAAACAGTGAGACTCATTTTCCCCCCTTTTTAATTGGAAACCAAATTTTAGGTGAATTTTCTTTAAAATGTTAACATTCCTAATATATCTGGGAAACTCTGATCTTCTGTAATCTGCAGAAGTTTCAAACCTCACAGGATGCCCATGATTTTACAATACTTTTCAACCCATATTCCATCCGAATTGATTTAGATACATTAGGTAACTTTACCAAATGGTCCTACTTATGAATCTAATTGCTCAGCACATTTATGCTGAATTCTAATTTATGAACAATAAATTATTTGGCTTTTTTTGTTGAGTCATATATCTGTTCTAGCTTTTTAATCTATGCAAGAGGTATCATTGTAACACAATTGGCTTTTTATTCAATGCTTCCATAAGCTGAAAATGGTTCATAAAATGACCACTCAATAATTACTACTCAAACACAGAGAAAGAATCCAGGAAGAAAAGAATAGGTAAATACAATTGTGATTTTGTTCTATTTAGCTTTCACATTTGTGAATAATGATTTCCTTCACTTGTAGGAAAAGTGTCCCTAAAACATCATTTGCTTCCCTTCCAAGTCAGAGAACACAGATATCCGCTTCCATTTGGAACACCTGACCCTAGTCCTGTCTTGTTCCTTGCTTTGCCATCCTAAATCTACTCACCAAGTTTGGTCATTTCTGTTTCTGCTAACAGAGCACTCTCTCAGAAAACTTTCTGGTAACAATAAGCAATAGTATGGACTCTATTCAGTGTAAAATAATCAAAGAAAATAACTACAGAATTTGAGAATCAAAAGAGTCAGGACAACTACTATATGACATTTAACAGGTTATCAAGGGCCAGAGAGGTTAATAAATGAAGTCAAAGTTCCACAGCTAGTCAGTAACAGAGGTAGCCTACTTAGCCAGTATAGAGGGAGCTCCAAAAAAGGCTTATTATTTACATTGTTTCTTAAAGTATGTTTCTCAGAAACTTAAATTCCAGGATGTTAATAGCTGTTGGGAATAGGGGGGAAGATTCCCAAATAACACTGAAAGTCACTGAGTTAAACAAAGCCAACAGATTTTGTTGTTGTTGTTGTTGTTTGCTGCAGGACTTCTCAGGGCCTTTATTATTTACTGTTCTTATGTAAATCCAAAAGGAGACCATAGTCAGCAGTGCTTTCCAAACATTTTTAATCATGAAGTTTTTGTTTCGTTTTTAGAAGTACTGTACGTGCAAAGCGATCCATAAAATGTATTTTGGGAAACATAAAAACTAATATATGCAACAAAAATTACTTAAGACTTTTAGGTTTCAATACATTTCATTCTCTGCTTCTATGTGTGTGAACATCCACACAAAGACAGAAACATAAGCCAACAACTGGTTCAACAATATGCCATAAAAATCAAACTCACAGTCTATAATATAGAATAAGGACTTCAAAACTAGGATGGGTGTATATTGGTTCCCTACCATTTGATCTACAAAACCAGGAGAATTCAGATGCATTTAACAAGTTGAAGGTCACAGAGACTATGTTACATCACTGGGATTCTTGCCTTTAGTTCAGCTGCTTTGGAGTTGTAGTCAACAGAATAGTGATGCAGTTGAGAAAGTACAACAGATACTGTCAGTAACAAAACGAGGTTTACACAAGAAGAAAGGTCAAGATGCTTCGAGTCTGAATGTATGGAAGTGAGAAGCCATGCAAGGTCACAGGACTTAGCACAAACCTGAGAGCTGTCTTTATTCTCTGAGGCCCCCACATTACCATCTGTGTAAGAGACTCCCTGAACCAGGAAAAGGAAGATCTTTCCATCTCTGCAAGTGTACTGTAAAACCACAGGAATGAAACAGCTTGTTAGGCTCCCTGCGGAATTTGCTGTCTGTAAGCCCACAGGGCTCAGACGACCGTTGAATAACTGCGTTGGACCTTTCTCCAGGACAAACCTTGGCCCAGGCTAGGTATGTGGCAGCTCTGCAGCCAGCAGGTTTTCACAAAGTGGGAAAGACAGAACTGCTGGCTGGGGACCATTACAGACTTTCAACAAGGTGGAGGCCTCTGCAGGAGGACTGGATCAATGGATCCACTCAATATGGCGACCTCTGTCCCACTGAGGAGGGAGCTTCTTCAATGTAGGTGAAACTCAGGACATTTCCTCTGTGTAGGGAGGCATTATCTTCTCATTTTTTTTAAAGTTCATATTATTAAAAAGTAACAATGTTTTATAGGAATTTCCTCCCACAAAATTTAAGATGCCCTAACTACAGCTGATCATTTTAATTCTTCAAATTCTTTGAAGAGCCTTTAAGGGTGGGCCAGGTAACTCTTGCCATTTCACAGACGGACTGTACAATAGCACAGCAAAATACTGGCAACATTCTAACGGTAATTAGGACAAGTATTCAAGGTAGCAATCTGTATAAAGGATGAAATGGTTTCCTTATAACCCACCTTATATCCAATATGTAAGGGAAGAGAGAGCTGAAATAATCAGTAATGTACGAAAGAAAAATATGAAGTAGGAAAGGAAGGCAATAGAGGGAATATCTTTTCTCTTCCCACATTACACACTGCCCTCCTACTGAAACATTTTAAATCCATTTTCTCTTTAAGAAATAATAGATGAAAATTGAAAACAAAGTTAAGCAGAAAGATAAATAAGAACTTATAACTCCAGCCTCCATCACTAAAATGTTGGTATATATCCTTCCAGATTTTTTAGTATACCTATATGTGCCCGAAATAGAATCATATCTATATATTGCTTTGTAATCTTACATTTTTACTTTACATTTTATGCTGAGGACATCTTTCTATGTCTATAAAAAATAATCCTGGCCATTCCATCTGTAAGAGCAGAGAAATACCAGGTAAGGAATACGGACTCTGGGGTCAAACAGGTGAGAATTCAAGTCTCATGTTGGCTGCTTTATAACTATGTGACCCTCAGAAAGCTGTTATTTTGTCTAAGTCTCAAGTTTCTTATTTATGCAATAGAGATCACAATGATACCTACTTCACAGGCTACAGCTAGAATTAAAATAATGCATGTAAAGTAATTAGCAAATACCTGACATGACAGTTATGTGCTCGATGTTAAGTAGCTATCATTATTAGCAGTAGTGAATATTCTATTATATTACATTTTTGAAAAAACTCAATCTTCTATTGTTTGGCATTTAGATTATTTCTATTTTTTTAACCTTTTATTTTGAAATCATTATTGACTTACAGGTACTTGCAAAAACAGTAAAGTCCCACATACCCTATACCCAGTTTTTCCCAGTAGTTAACGTCTTACACATCTATGATACAATGTAAAAATGTGGGAGTTGACATTAGTATAATCTACAGATTTTATTCAGATTTCACCAGATTTACATGCACTGATCCATTTATATGTGTGTGGGTATAAGTAAATGCAGTTTTATCACATGTCCACATTCCTGTAACCAGCACCACAATCAGGGTATGGAACTTTTCATCACCACAAGATCCCCTGTGCTACCCCTTTATAATCACACTCCCCTTTACTTCCTCCATCTCCATAATTATATCATTTCAAAATGTTTATGTAAGTGGAACCCTATGGATACGGTTTGGCTGTGTCCCCCCCGGGAATCTTATCTTGAATTGTAGCTCCCATAATTCCCATGTGTTATGGGAGGGGCTCAGTGAAAGATAATTGAATCATGGGGGCGGTTTTCCCCATACCGTTCTTGTGGTAGTAAATACGTCTCATGAGATCTGATGGTTTTATAAGGGGTTTCCCTTTTCACTGAGCTTTAATTCTCTCTTGACTGCCACCATGTAAGACAAGCTTTTTGTCATCTGCCATGATTGTGAGGCCTCCCCAGTCACATGGAACTGTGAGTCCATTAAACCTCTTTTTCTTTATAAATTACCCAGTCTCGGGTATGTCTTTATCAGCAGCATGAACATGGAGTAATACACCTATACTATGTAATGTTTTGAGATTGGCTATTTTCTCTCAGCATAATGTCCTTGAGATCCATCCAAGTTGCTATGTATATCAATAGTTTGTTCCTTGGTATTGCTGAGTAGTATTCGATTGTATGGATGTACCACAGTTTGTTTAACCATTCATCTGTTGAAAACCACTTGAGTTTGTTTCCAGTCTTTGGCCAATACAAATAAACTTGCTCTGAACATGGGTATCGATTTGTGTGTGGACATAAATTTTCATTTATCTGGAACAAATGCTCAGAAATGAGTGTTGGGTTGCATGGTAAATGCATGTTTAGTTTTATATAACACTGCCAAACTGTTTTCCAGAGTGGCTACACCATTTTACATAGCTACAAGAAATGTATGATAGATTAAATTCATATGCATTTTCACCGGCATTTGATACTATATTTTCTTTTAACTTTGGCTCTTTCTAATAGGTGTGCAGTGATATCTCATCATGGCTTTAATTTGCATTTTCCTAATGGCTAATGATGTTGAATACCTATTTCTAATTTCTGATGTGACAATGCAAAATGGATACTTTGTTTGGATAAATCCTAAGTTAATTACTACAATGAATTCTTCAAAGTGGAATTACTAGATAGGCAGATTTTTAAAACAGTGGGAAAATAATATCATATTGCCCTCCAGAAAATTACCAATTTACACTCCCATCAGCATCACATGAACTGCTCAGCTTTGAAAGTACTAACTCTCTCTCATTGTCTCCCCTACAAGGTTAAAAAGACAGTTCTTGCCAATACATTCTCCACTACCAGGGAAATAAAATAAAAATTCGGTTTCCCTAAATCTTAATAGAGCCGAAAATGAACCAACTAAGATACCCTCTCTAAGGACATCTCACATTCAGACATGCATTTAACATTTTCACCAAACACATTAGGAAGAAAGAAAACTCATTTACCTTTATGGGCAATATGACACAGGTCTTCTTGCATTTTAGAAAACTCTGAGGAGGTTTCAGAGCCATCAGAATAATTTTTCTCTTCTCCAAAATCTAGTGTTGACAAATTAGGATTGGAGGAGTGTAGTCTTACTGGGCCAGAAAAAGGTTTGGGGACCTGAAGTAACACCAAAGGGAGATATTTCTTTTCAGATGCAGATTGCTTAGAATATTTACTTGATTCTAAGATTGAAATACAGTAATATAAAACATTTTATAGGTAGGTCTTTCTACTGAGTGATAACTTATTTTTAAAAATGAGAACTCAAGACAACACTTTCCACAGCAACTTGCTTCTTGTGAGCTAAAAATGGGTGAGAAATCACATATTCTTTTGGGAACGATAGAAGCATTAAAGCTTTAGGTTGAAAATGACAGCTAAAGCTGCCAGGCTTTCTCATGTATACTCAATTCCTTCCTCCTGGCAATAATCACCCATGTATCCAGGCAGTTAGTAATGGATAGGTTTAAAACGCTTTCCTTTGCACCTAGGGCTTCTACAAAACAAATGACCTTCATTTGTACATGGAACATTCTTTACTTCCAAAGTGCTTATCTTCGGTCCATAAACTGCTTTGAACCAAAGAGTATACAAGAGTGTATCAGGTGACCTAACCAGAAGCTTGAGATTTATGTTGATTCTAAAAATGTTGCAATTTAATATGCAACAGTTAAGCTGCAAATCTTGGCCTGTGGCTTAGCTGTGCACTGGGAAAGCTCCTCGCATGCATGACACAGTGAATCCTGGATGAGGGATTGGGAGTTTGGAGATAAGAGGCCAAGGAGAATCTACACCATGTCCTGTGCCCAGAGAATCATGCCTGTGGGCTTAGAGGGATGACAAATCCATGGAGCATGAGCAGAAGACATAGGTCAGAGCACACAGTAACTGCAGCCACAAAACAAGGCACAAACACAAGCAGGGAAGAGCACAGGCAGGCTCAACAGTGAAGATGGGGAAACCAAAAGCCCTAGAAATGGCAGCAGTCCCTGCAACCTCACACCCTTTTTCCCTTAGAAAATATTCTCTCCCTTGCCCACGATCCATTATGTGCATATCCTAGCACCCAAACAGTCTAAGCGATTCAATTCATCTCTCTGCAGAGGACATTGGAAAGAACAACTACAGAATATTCACTCATCTATTCTCCTAGCTGAGTCAAGGCAGCTCCCGGCACATGGCATGCAGAGCAGGGCCAATGAAGAAACCAGTCTGTCGGGGGAAGCAATGGTTACCTGCAGCGTTCCTTTAGCATCTTTGCCAATAGCTCTGGACCGCCACCTCCTTTGTGATCTTTTTTCCTTTTTGGGACTTTCAAAAGCTCCACCCTTTGTTTCAAAACAGGAAAGAGAGCACAGACAGTAAAGTCCACCAAACCGATAAGGATAAATGCTTAGCAAGGTGACTACCTCCATCCCCTTGACTTTGGCTGAAGCAACTGACCACAGCATCCCACTGTTAGTGAAAGGCTGGGAGGAGAAAGGAAAGCAGAAGAGGGCCAGAATGTCAACAGAAGAGGAGTCGGGCTCACCTGGATGGCGTTGATAGCTGGTGCCGAGTATGTCCGATGCAGGACATCCATGCTTTGCAGGAGCTGGCTCATTTCTACCAGGTAGGCATGACAGTGCGCCAGGTCTGTGGGGGAAAAGAGGATAGTGCTCACAATGCTCCACCAGCAAGGGGGATCACTGCTGTCCCCATGCCAGCTACTTTTCCTTATTTATCTGTAGTTGATTTTTTTTTTTATCTGTAAGGATCGGAAATTTTACTTCCCTTTTTACAGGAAAGGCTGTAGACTCTAGCGGTTAAGGGCACAAATCTTGAGAACCAGGCTGCCTCAGTTTGAATCCACTTAATGAACTGTAACTATTGAGAAAATTGCAAAACTGCATGCCTCAGCTTCCTCATCACAAAGATGGGGATAATTATACACGTAGATCACAAGACAGTTGTGAGAATTAAATGAGTTGATGTTGCAGAGTTCTTAGAAGAGTGTTTGGCACAGAGTAAAAACTAAATAAATCAGCCAACATCATCATCATCATTAAGTTTAATCCTATAGTAATATGCTGACGCTATCCACTTGTCAGGACCTAATGCACATTAATAAAACTAAAATGAAAGTTGTACCAGTCTCTAAGGAAAACTTTGTCAATCATGGACCTGCCTGAGGATCATAATGAGCCTCTGTAGATGGACCTGAGAGGACCTAAGAGGACTCTCCAACCAGATCCCAGTTGCTAACTCAGAAGATAGTCCATAATTTGCCATTCGCTGGATGCTGATGGATGTTTCTGCTAAAGAATACAGGCCCAAATGCCTTAAGCTAGAGGCTCTCACAGTTTGATATCATCGGGATCACCCGGAGACCTTGTTAAACCACAGCTCACTGGGCTCCACCCCTAGTTTCTGATTCAGTACATCCGGGTTGAGCCTGAAAATGTGCATTTCTGATAAGTTCCCGGGTGGATGCTGCTGCTCCAGAGACAAGGCTCCAGGGACTGCTTTGACAAGCTGTCACTCAGTAAAGCTCAAGAGTGATGTTTATTGGAGGGGCAAAGCCTACATGGTCCCAAGGGTGATACTACCTACATTCAACAAGAGATAATGCAATTTTCAAGGCCGCCACCTGGTATCTTTCTCCAATAGTGGCTCTCAATCATGGCTACACTTTTAAATCAATTGGAGAAATCTTCTAAATTATATATGCCTAAATCCCACCCCCAGACAATTCAATCAGAGCACTCCCAATCCCACTGTGGATCTTTTTGGTTTTTAGTTCCCTAAGTCAGTCTTAGCTAATTAAGGTTGAGAATGCTGAGCTTCCTTATGGCAGGCGCCTTATCAAAATCACTTGGGGAACTTTGGAAAATTAGTGATACCCGGGCCCTACCTCAGACCAATTTAAAGAGATCATTTGAGACAGAGGACTGGGAATGGGTATTACCGCATTTTAAAAGCCCTCTGGGTGATTCTAATGTGCAGTCAGGGTAGAGAACACCTAAGTCGTGAAGATCTCCATCTGATCACCCCCTCACCTCCAGCACAATGATTCTCAATCTTGGATGTGTGTCAGACTCTGCCCTTGGAGACTGACTTAGAGGCCCATGTGGAAATCAGGCATCAGTATCAGGCATCAATACTGAAGGAACAGAAGAAGAAACCTGTCTGCATGTACAGCCAGGTGAAGATGCAAAGATCTGCAAGGAGATTGTCTCTTGTTGATGATGGGTGCAACTTTTACAAGCAAAATATGGAAGGGAATGTGGACAAGCAAAGGGGAAGGACACAAATGCACCTGAAGTGTAAACATCAAACCAGTATCATCTAACAGCCACGACAGAAAGCAGAGGTTTCAAGTCACTCTACCTTTGGAGCATTTTTCCATGTCCTCTGAAGACTGTAACCATAATGGAACTCGTGTCTCTCCACCGCAAGAAAATGATACATTGCTTCCAGTTTGAAATAAATTCTGCTTTGATATACTGCTACGCTGTTCCACAGATGACAAAAGCACATTGTAAATGGAAACAGAGCCCAGCAGGGACATGTTAAGGTAAAGGATAACAGAGTGGGTTAGTCACTAATGGACACCATTTGCCTATAATGAGGAAGAAGCTTCTAGCTAAGTACTAAGACCTCTGACTATCACCCTGGCTTGGCCATACCATGCTATGATATGGCATGCTTGAATGGTGGACCTTATTTTCTTCTTTTATCACATATTAATAATAACACCAAAATAATAAATGTTTGGAACTATTTTGCAATCCTGCATAGCTATATGCATACCTACTGTAGTTTACAACCAGAAAAGGAAACCAAACTCAAACCAGTCAGGACAAAGCTAGTTCATTCCGAGATGCTAAATTCCTCCTCATTCTTCAGTCACTGTCCCCCCCAAATAAGAGATGCTCGTCTGGTCTTGCTTCTGACTCAGTGGGCAAACAGACTAATTAAATACCACCCCAAGCCTACCTGCTTGTCCCTGAAACCCTCTCCTTCTTCAGACTCAGCTCCCAAGATAGGACTCCATGAAAAAAAAGCCACCCCGTTCTCAGATTCATTATTGGCAAAACACTCATTACCTTCCTACTTGAAATGGAGTCAAACACCCCAGATGTAGAGTCTGTGACGGTGGACCCTGAGAAAAAGTGATTAACTTCATGTGGAAACATGGCAATTTCATTCTGACGATACATTCGGTGATGGCGAAGTTTCGATACCCACTCATCAAAGACTTCTTCTGATTTGACCTATGATGTATTCAATTGAAAAAAGGACAAGAAGAGAATCACTCACGGGAAGGAACAATTACTCATCAAATTGAGGCCACTCCCGAAATCCGCTTTTTCAGTTGGCACATAATTTCAACAGCCAGGCGCGGTGGCTGATGCCTGTAATCCCAGCAATTTGGAAGGCCGAGGAGGTAGGACCACTTGAGCCCAGGAGTTTGACACCACTCTGGGCAACATGGTGAAACCCTGTGTCTACAAAAAATACCAAAAAAATTAGCCAGACATGGTGGCACAAGCCTGTGATCTGAGCTACTCGGGAGGCTGAGGTGGGAGGATCACTTGGGCCTGGGAGGTTGAGGCTGCAGTGAACCGAGATTGAGCCACTGCACTCCAGCCTGGGTGGCAGAGGGCGACTCTGCCTCAAAAAAAAATACATAAATAAGAAAGAAAAGGAATGGAGAAGTAGCCTCTCATTGACTGTTTACATTGATGTGGTCTACAGGAACAAGTTTGAGAAAGAAATGCAGAGTAAAAATGATCTTTACAAAGTATGTATTTTGGCTTTCTATGAGTGAATCCAACTGTTATTTATTTATTTACTTATTTGAGATGGAGTCTTGCCCTGTTGCCCAAGGCTGGAGTGCAATGGCCCGATCTTGGCTCACTGCAACCTCCACCTCCCAGGTTCAAGCAATTCTCCCACCTCAACCTCCCGAGTAGCTGGGATTACAGGCATGCAGCATCACGCCCAGCCAATTTTTTGTATCTTACTAAAGACAGGGTTTCATCATGTTGGCCAGGCTGGTCTCGAACTCCTGACCTTGTGATCTGCCTGCCTCGGCCTCCCAAAGTGCTGGGATTACAGGCGTGAACCACCGCCTGTAATGCTATTTTTAAGAAACCAGAACACTGCCAATCATATTAAGCAACAAATAAATTGATATTTATATTTATCTGCCTCTTAAAGCATTTCTAAGTTCTCTAATCCCAGCTTCTCTATCCCTACTGAAAATATGAGCACCATTTTTCTTTTTAAACTCTTTTCTAATTCAGACTTTTCAGATCAATCTTTTCTGAACTGGAATGAATTAGTAAATTCTTCCTAAAATATTTAACCTTGTTCATCTCTCCAACAAAGAATACATTGCTGAGGAGTATATGTGATATGGTTTGGCTGTGTTCCGTGTCCCCACCCAAATCTCATCTTGAATTCCCACATTTTGTGGGAGGGACCTGGTCAGTGAGAGAGAACTGGATCATGGGGGCAGGTCTTTCCCATAGTGTTCTCGTGGTGGTAAGTGGGTCTCACAAGATCTGGGGGTATTATAAAGCAGGGTTTCCTTGCACAAACTCTTTCTTTTTGCCTGCCACCATCCACAGAAGATGTGACTTGCTCCTCCTTGCCTTCCGCCATGATTGTGAGACCTCCCCAGCCATGTGGAACTGTAAGTCTATTCACCTCTTTCTTTTGTAAATTGCCCAGTCTTGGGTATGTCTTTATCAGCAGTGTGAAAATGAACCAATACAATATGTTAATGAACGTGAAGGTTATTTAAAAGAACATTTCTCCCACTCTCAGAAATAAAGCACTGTACAGCAATATTATTTTTCCAACTTTTTTTACTCTCATACTCACAAACCTTTAGCCATTCTCTCCATAAATGAGCAATTATCAATTTCTAATTTCCATGAAGAATACTGTTTGTAACTAGTAGTTTTTATTTAAAGATATTTCAAACGTTTATAAAAATATATGTGATATATATAAAAAGAATATAACAAGCACCTATATACCACAGATATTTCTTAAAAGTCAATTTTGGCCGGGCACTGTGGCTCACGCCTGTAATCCCAGCACTTTAGGAGGCTAAGGAGGGTGGATCACGAGGTCAGGAGATAGAGACCATCCTGGCCAACATGGTGAAACCCCATCTCTACTAAAAATACAAAAATTAGCTGGGTGTGGTGGTATGCGCCTGTAGTCCCAGCTACTCAGGAGTCTGAGGCAGGAGAATCGCCTGAACCTGGGCGAGAGAGGTTGCAATAAGACGAGATCGCGCCACTATACTCCAGCCTGGGTGACACAGCGAGACTTGGTCTTAAAAAAAAAAAAAAAAAAAAGTCATTGTGTGTGTGTGTGTGTGTGTGTGTGTGTGTGTGTGTCAATGTATTGATATTTTCAAAGTAAAAAAATGATAGATACCCATATATTAGAACACTGAGACTTATGAAGCTGTAATTTAAGATAATCCAAAAGGATGCACAGTAGGATAACTTCCAAGATGAAAAGTTCAGGTCAAACTGTGAAAATCTTTACTAATGCCAGAGATGAGAGCTAGGATATGCAAATAAATGCCAGCAATATCACTCACTGAGGAACTGTTAGGTTGGCTCTAGTGTTGATTGTTAGAAGTACCTATAAGACTGGAAGCACCTGCAGGGGCTTTTTAATGTGTCACTTACAGGAAGAAGCAATACAAACAGACTCACACCTATTTGTCTCCCCTAAATTATGTTCTTGAAATGTATTTCATTTCCCAGATGTGGTTAAAAGGAATTTTACAGGAATCTTGTGTCATCCTTTGCTCTGATCTATTCTCAGAGGCCCTTATAAGTCAGTGCCCAAGCACTCATCTAGACTCACTTTTTTATCAGTTAAACAAGGTAGAAGAATAAGAGCACTTTATTAAATAACTGTCCAGGGTCCTGTTCCAGTCTCTCAAGTAGTTCTAGGGTCGTGGGTGAACAGCCGCTTAATCTCTCTGCTATCCAGGATCCCTTATCTATAAAATAAATGGGATCAAACAGCCCACAATTTAAAACTGCCTGACTGAGTCTATTAACTAGAACCCTCAAATAACTACACTTGCCTACGCTAAGAATCAGAGCTGATGTTCAAAAGAACGAACAAGAAACCAAACAGAACTTAAAGCAAATCACAGAGAAATATTAAACTGCGTTTATCACAATATTAGCATTCAATATATTTTAAGGTATTCTAACCCTTTAAAAATTATTAATTCATAATTACTTTTATTTTGTTAACCAGAATAGTGGGCAAATAAGAACCTATTAATTCCTGACCATGTCAAAATACAGAGCCAAGATTCATTGGAAGTACCTGAAGAAATAACCTAAACTATTCTAGTGGAGACCGATCACTGAAACAGAATAAAGGATAGTATTCTTTCTTAAATTTCTTTTTTCTCTTAAGATATAGGCTTTTCCCTCCCATACTTCACACCAGTCATTTGCAGCCAGGGGTGGTTTTATCCTCTAGGGAACACCTGGCAATGTCTGGAGATATTTTTGGTTGTCATAACTGGAGAAGGATGCTATTGGCATCTAGAGAGAGGGCAGGGGGCAGGGACACTGCTCAACATCGTGCTATACAAAGTCAGCCTCCCACAACAAAGCATTATCCAGCTCACAATGTCAATGGTGCTGAGGCTGAAAAACCTTGCTTTACACAATTAGCTACACCCAGAGATACAGTTAGGCTAGGAAATAGTGAAGATTTGACTGTCTTGCCCATTCAACCAACCACAGGTATGTGGTCCACATGGCTCAGTCACCACACACATGCCATAGAGAGGACAGGGACACACTGAGACAAGGAGCTCATGATCTCATGCTTTCATTTTCCTAATCCTGGGGCCCCATTCCCAATATCTCAAGTAATTTTCCCAAGTAAGAAAACAGTCTTAGTATTTTCTCAATTAATTTCTAACATTCGGGTACCATCCAACAAGCACATACAATAACTACACTTCCTGAGTTTACACTGGGCCAGGCACTAGGCCAAGTTTTCTACATGCAGCCCGACAAGATGAGTGTTATAATAATTTTCATTTTGTTTTAGGTGAAAAAACTGAGACTTTCAGAGATAAGTAATTTGCCAAAGTTCAATGGCTAGTGAGTAGCCACATCAAGATCTGAACCAGATCTAGATCTCACGCTTCATGTTTTGACTATCTCTACCACCTGCAGGAGAGACAGCACAAGAGGGTAAGCAGCTTTGAAGTACTATTTGGGAATCCACGCTTTAGGGGAAAAATTCCTGACATTTCACTACAATATTAGAATTTTGGTGGGATTCCTATAAAATTAGCCAAAGTGATAAAACAGGGCTCCACGGCCTAAATGTTATATATATTTCAGGAACACATGTTAACCTATAGTAAATGGTTCTTCACTAAAGATGTTACTGCCTGAGTGGAGATGGTTTGCAAACAACATTTTTCATTGTTGACTGTTGTCACAATCACTGGGGGCAGGCTGGTATCTAGGGGATGAGGTGACCAGGAGGCTAAACCTTCAAGCAGTGCTGACAGTCCTGCACAATGACATCCCATTCAAACACCAACACTGTCCATGAGAAACACTTTGGTAACGAAGGTCTTCTACATGTTGGCTGAATACCCAAAAGGCATCACCAACAGTATAATAACTGACAATCCTTCCCCAACATAAGTCAACTCTGCACAGTGGGAAGCAGCCTCACCTTCAGATGGTAGATGTGCTCCTCGGTGTCAAGGTCTATGCATTTTGATGACTTCTTTACAGACATCACTGAGAGCCCCACGTCAATGCAGCCATGCAGCTTCTCTCTCTCTATCTGCAGAGGCACCAAGAGGGTCACTTGGGAACCATGTTAAAAGCAGTAGTCACAACCCTGACACACCCTTCCACACCCACTGACAGTAAAATCACAACCACTGCGACTCCTCAAGCACTTAGCGTGAGCCAGTGCTGAGTTACGTGCTGGACATGCACTGTCTTCCTGAATCTCTGAGGTAGGAAGTACTCTCCCCATTTTACAGATGAAGAAACTGGGGTACAGAGGGGTTAAGTAACAAGCAGTTTACACAGTCAGGATGTGAGGAAGCAAAAGAGTAAACACTGTGGGTTGACTCCCATAGCAGTGAATTCACCTGTCAACTGCCCTGCCTCCCACTCAATTAGTTTCTGGTGTCTACATTCATTTAGAAGTGATGTATTAATAAAAGAAGTGAGAGCAGGAAGCTGAGAGGACAGCAGAGGAAGAAGGGAGAAGAGCAGGACTCCTTCAAGGGGCAGAACAAATGGTCATTCAGAGCCCTCACACACCAACTGCCTGGGATTAATTTGAAAAGGAACTTCTTCACCCAGGGCCTTCTCCCGGAACCCCTTGGTCACAGTACAAGAAAGAGGGACGCCCTATGTTTTGTTCCTGTTATCTAGCTGCGAGGATGTATTCTCCCACCCGGGGAACTCCTTAGCACAACCTTAAGACCAGAACAGACCTTTGCATGCCCTGAGAGTGTTGGGGGAGCCCCTGCACCTGGACCTGGTGGAGGAACTGAGCCTGCCTGGAACCCAGAGCTCAGACAGAAGTGACTCCCCTCTATGATTTCTAGTTCTGAGAAGAGCTATCCTCAACTATACGCACTCTCATCTCTGAGCTGATGGTTACCCCTTTAGGATTCTCCAATACCACACTGGGCCCACGAAAAGACTTACATCGGTTTGGCTCTTGGCATATTTCAAGATTCCTTTGTCCAGATAGAAGAATCTCTGTGGGGAAGAAAGTATTATTAATTAAGACATTCAATTTAGGTGCCCTTTTCTTGGTCTCAAATTACAACTAGAAATTAAATATGAGTGCCTAAGAACCAGGTGCTGAGTGGGGCAGTGTGAATGCAAATAAAGGGGAGGCCAAGAACAACCTTACCTTGTGCCAGCCTTTTAAGGGCCATTTCCTCTTTTTTAGCAAAAATCCTTTCTGAACTGGTGGCTCCTGGGTGTAATTCATCTCCCCCCTCAGTCCTTCCACTACTTCCCAGCTGTCCTGTTCCAACAAAAGAGTTGATGTTAAATGTCTACGTTTTTGAAAAATAATAATGGTAAAAAGTACTGCATCCTATCAGTAAATTTATTCTAGATGGGGAGGCTGGCTGGGTTTGTTGGGGAGAAGAAATCCAAATTTAATTTCCATACAGTCCCTGGGCTTCATAGATTTAATTCTATAATTTAGTGGCATCGAATTTCAGTTTTTTTAAAGCTCTTTTTTGAGAAGAGAATGTTTCTTTCGGTGTTTGAACCTTAATAGGCACAGTTAAATGTAAAGATTTTCCTGTAAGTTCTATTTTTGTTCACTTTGACATTACCATGCAATTACTGTTTGCTCAGCACTAGACTTCGGTCTGAATTTTAACCAAAAGAGAGTGTGTGTGTGTGGTGTGTTGTTGGGGGAAGGAAGTTGGTTTAAGAATTGGCTGAAAAGTATGAGACAATGCAAATCAGTAAATATGACAACTTGGTTGAAATAATTATTTTGTTGAAAATCAGCATCCACAAATTCTAGGTATTTAAATGCACTGGAAATCTAGATGCATTAAAAGTATATTTTTGCAACAAGAACTTTCACTCTTTTTTCCCAGAAATTTGTTTTTTCCATCTTTTTTTGTTTCAAAAACTTTTCTTTCTTTGGCCAATTATTACAAACAGTTTTTACAACTAATCTTCCACTATTGGCTATTTAGGTTATTTCAACTAATTGAAAAAGAATTTTAAAAGAAATAAAAAGAAAAACACTAAAAGTTCTGAAAATTTACTTTTAAATACTTAAAAATGAATACATCATTGCTAATCACCTGAAGATAAACCAAAAGTGGCAATAGTTCAGTGACTGGGAGAGTTTATTTTATTATTTTTTTAAAATTTTTTATTGGGATATAATTTACATGAAATGCACGAATCTTAAAGAGTATGCCTTGATAAATTTATACATTTATACATATACTTAGTAACTGCCAGCCAGATCCAACAGAAAATATTTCCAACACAGAGTAATTAAGTTTTGACAAGCATGACACTTCAGCCAAGATTTCACCTGGACTAACTTGCTCTGAGTCAAATCTCCAGCCCACAAGCAGGTGCTACAGACAGAAGCCAAGGGCACTGGGAGATGGACAGTGAGTCTGAACCAGCACCAGGGAGCAGGAGGCAGTTAGATTCAAGTCCTGGGACACAAGTGGTCTAATAGGGAGGGCACAGAAACCACACAGGGTCCTGAGTGGCTCTGGCTCAGTTTCTGTGTTGTCTTCAAGTTCAATACATGGGACCCACCTGGTAATGAGAACCCTTTCCTACGTTAGCAACGGAACTCTTTACATCACGATCGTGACGGGTCTGTCTTCTATCTGATGGCACTTTACTGTGAATCCAATTAAAGGTACATTCCAGAGTTTTAAAATATCACAGTGGTATTCCCGAGATCTGGAGTTGTGATAAAGAGACTTCTTCAATGGAAAAAAGCAAAGCTTCGAAAAAAGATCCAGCTTTTAAATTAGATGGTTTTTTTTTTAAGGAAGGTAGCAATGTTGAATGAGATTTCTTCATAAATTATTACCAATTATTCCAAGTCACTTAATTACACTCAGACAATAAATGCATACAAATAAGTGATGGGAAGTCAGATTTCCTATTACTTAAAAACACCAAAAAAAAATCTTACTTGAATTTATTTTAGCTCAGAAAGTCATTCCTCAAAATTTAACACACTTTACCTGTCTAAATGTTAATGAACCTTTAAGGTTGTCAAGTTAAAACTTCCACCTCAAATTTCACCCCCTCCGGTGGAAAATATCATTTAATCCCTAGAGACTCCATAAGGACTCCATCTTACTTTTCCAGAGGTTCACCACTTACTTATGATAGTATGTACATGAGGTTTTATCATCCCTGCTGGACAGTAGGCTCCTTGAGGGCATAAAGGGTCCAGAGTATTTCTGATTTCCCCACAATGCCTAACCTGCTGTCCTGTGAATAGTATGCACCTGATTGGCAAATGAATAAACTTAGTCTTGGAATAAGTCCGCAAACAGATTTATCTTCTTGGAATGTCATAAATTAGTATGCGTTTGAAGTATGCCCAGTATCTTTGAGCCGAATGACTATTTACAAATGAGATACAATGCATCCACATTTGTTAAAGAAGGGGGTGTGGGTGTTGTTGTCATTGTTAAATAAAAATCCAAGACTTAAAATCCTCTGGAAGTACTCTAAGTGGATCAAGTCCTTTTGATTTGTTTATTTTAAGACTCCCAGGCAGAAGCAACCTGCAGAGCACTAATACTAAACAATCATGCACATCTGCTCAAAACATTTGATTGTGCACAATGCAAATACCAAGAGGAATCGGACGTTATGGCATCCTTTACAAAACTGAAAAAACAGAGGAGATAAGATCATACCTGTAAGTTTAAAGGAAAACAAAAATTAAATCTGAGAACTATTTCAAAAATTCCTGTTAGAACTGGATTGTTCCTCCTCCTGAGACAGAGTGCATTCCTATCAGTGAGCCACCAAGGAGGGCAGGGAATTAAAGCACATCTGTTGGCCCTTAACATAAATAAACAAACAAAAATAGGAGTTGATTTTTTTTCCTACAAAATATTGTGCTTTCTTCATTTTATCTTCCACTTAGGGTCAGAACTTGAAACTGTTACCAGGTTGGAAAAGCCAGATTTGAAATATTTAAGAAAGTGAAGACTCTCCTTGGCTAAAAAAGCAATGCAACCAACTCCTTTTCTGGAGTCGACATCCAAATCTGCCCCCCCGCCCCACCGCCAACTCGCCTGTCACCGTCCATGCATGAGGCCAACATCTAGCCTGGTGGTCCTCAATGAGGTTGCGAGTGCTCCCTCAGGACCACTGTGGAATCCTGGAACCACTTTTGGTTGTGACAATGATAAGGAGATGCCTCTGGCATGGAATGGCTGGGAGCCAGGAATGTTAGATGTCCCACAATGCCTTGGTCTTGCACAATGAAAACGCTGTCCCACACCCCAAAGACTTCCCAAAGTGCCATTAGCCATTTCTGTAGGTGAAATGACTTAAAATCACTTGAGCATGGAGCCGAACTCTGTTTCACACATACATCAAAGTATTTTTGCATGGTTTTCATGCACTCTTGGGATGTAAGTGCTGAGTAACTGAGGGAAGACTGTATTTTGTTCTTGTTGGAACTTTGCCAAGTGTCTCCCACTATTTTAGAGAATGACGTTGCTGAAGGCCATGCTATTTGAGTTATTAATACAGCATACCTGTATCCTCTCCATTCGCAGCAGTCCCTTTCTATGTATAGGTATATCTGATCACTTCATTATGTCTTCTGGTGTGGTCATGCCTGGGCTTTTACATATTGAAATGTATGTTTTAACATTAACCACATTCGTTGAATTTTGCTTTATATTACAGTAAAGCATGATGCTGACATTTTCAAAATTATGTATTCAAGTAGGTTACATTAATAATGAATTTCAGCTGGACATAGTGGCGCATGCCTGTAATCCCAGGACTTTGGGAGGCTGAAGCAGGACGAACGCTTGAGCCCCAGAGTGTAAGGCTACAGAGAGCTATGAGCACACCACTGCACTCCAGCCCGGGTGAAAGAGTGAGACCTTGTCTCTTAAAAAATGTGTGTGTGTATATATATATATATGTGTGTGTGTGTGTGTATATATATATATGTAATTCTTAATATATAAAAATTATATACATTATATATATTTACAAATTATATATATACACACACACACAAATTTATAGGAGAGTAAAGCAATCATTAAAATACTGGTCATAATAAGAGGACATTGGTTACGTGGATGACAGGGTAAGAACCACTAATGAACTTGGTGCAAATTCTGTGGGCTGCTGTAAGAAAGAATACTAGGCCAGGACACAGCATATGTGAAATCACTTTGAAAATTGTAAAGGCTTTAATATTTTCTTGTAAGTAAGTCCTGTTGGTTCCATCTTCAAAATGTGTATTTTCTACTTCCTTCCTCTCGATTCCCCAGCCACCATCCTAACCTCGGCTCTCATCCATTCCATTAATTCCTCACTTGTACTAAAGTCAACAACCACTTCTGGGGCCTCGTTGTGTCCTGTCCTTCATGCAATATAAAAATGAGTATGACAAAATGGTTGTCTTTATTTCCACTTTGGCGATTTACTTATATTTTGGCCTCCCAGAATCTTCTCTTGATCTTTACCAACCAAACTCACTCTTCAGGATTTTAGTTTGGTTTCTATCTCCTTCCATGAAATTCCTAAATTACCCAAACCACATCAGTCACATATTCCTATAAATCACATTATTATTACTGCCCATTACCAAATAATTTAGCAATTAATTAACTTGTAAGGTTTTTTTTTCTTCCCTTCCATTTTTATCTCCAGTGCTTTCATCTTTTCTTCCCACACTATCGCAGTGACCATCTTTTCAACCTGCTTAGAATCCTAGTAAAGTACTAAGTATATATTTAGTAGGAACTAAAATATTTCTCCTGGTTTATTCATTGTTGGGGTCTCAAACTGAGAAAATAAGTTCTCAAACCAAGTAAATGGCACTGAGTAGCTGGCTTACAAAGAAATATTAAGCTGTATCCACAATTCTGCACAGCATGCCATTTAAATATACAGTGGGGTCGGCTGAAATAATACATAAACATAACAATATAAGCAATAATAATATAAAATAATTGGAGAACACTTTCTAGCTCCACGAAAGTAGGAACCTTTTCTGTCTTGTTCACTACTTAAAATAGTGCATAGTAGATATTAATAAATAAGTTGAAAGAATAGAGCAATTACAATAGCTAACACTTATTAAGCATCTTCTATATTTCAGATAATGTGCTAAACACCATACTTACATGATCATGTTTAATTCCTGCACAACCTTTGAGATTGGATTTATTATTCTTTATTTTTTTGCATGTGGAAACTGAGGGAGAGAGAATTAGATAACTTCCCTGATGTTATAAAACCAAATGATGAAGCCACCTGACTGCAGAACTTACATTTTTAAGTATTATAGCATACTGCATTTTTACTGTAGTTTAAGTATGAAAATTCTGATGAAGAAAAAGGAGTAAATCGTATTATAGCATACTGCATTTTTACTGTAGTTTAAATATGAAAATTCTGATAAAGAAAAAGGAGTAAATCCCATTGGGTAGAAGAACAGTGGAGGGTCGAGACCTTGAGACAATTGGAAGGAGTTAAGAAACAGTGCAGTATGGATGGAGGCAAGTTAGGTCTTCAACCCTGCTCAGAGCTACCATTTTCCCTATTCTGTAGTCCCACCAAACAGGGAAGGGAAATTAGCCTGTGCATTTTAAGGCTGCCGAGTCTTTGCCATTCATTTTTTTCATATCTGGAAAGCCTGCCCCATCTACCTCTTAGCCTGGTAAATTCTCATTTAGGCCCAAACCTCCTCCCTGGATGACAGTCACCTTGCACTATCAGCCTCCCTAGCTAGAACATGGGTTCAGTGAGGACAGGGACTGTGTCTTATTTATTACAATACTACTACCTGGGAAATAGGGGCCGAAATAAATATTTACTGAATGAGTCTGCAAAGCAAGGGGGGTATCAAAAGAATCCCTGAGAACCTTCAGGACATGGGACTTTAATAATGTGTGCTGGATTAGAGTGAGTTGGCACTCAGGACAGAAAACAAGAGGGATGTTGATTTCTTTTGGCTAAAGGAACCAGGATTTAGGAGTGTCTCCTGGTGACCCAAGAGTAGGGCACGCATCTTGAGCTGCATATCCTGAGACACAGTACAGGGTAGACTTGGGCCCTTGGGGAAATCAAGGCCCTGCTGACTTAGCCCAACATGGCTGCACTGATGTCTCGTCCTGTGGGGTGTCAAGCTTAAAGGTCACCATGAAGACCAGATGGAGAGAGAAACTTGGGAGGGGTTGGGGGATGTGGCCTCTTAAGGTTTTTGCTTGAGTTTCACTGAAGGCAGTCTGGCGCTGTCATCTGGCACTAAATTTAGTCTGTTTTACTGAATGTCTGAAAAGTGCCAAAGATAGAAAGCTGCTTTGTGATTGCAAAGGCAGCTAAGCGTTTATTCATGCTCATGTGCTGGCCAAGTTAATTTCCATATTGCTGAGTGCACGAATTGAAAGCACTTCCCTCCAGCACAGCTGTTTCCATAGGCACCTTTCAAATGCTGAATCCTCAGTCACTACCCTTGCAGTGATGTCAGAAATAGAAAACAATTTAAACTTTTATTCTTCTTGCAGCTGAAGAGTGTTGGGGAAGAAAGTTTTGTGGTTGCCTCTCTCAGGCATGGTTGGAAAATGGGTGTCCTGATTACTTGTTTAATCTGTTTATCAATTTTTTAAAAATCACAAGGTAATACCCAGCCTTAAATCATATAATTTAATCTGTCTTTAATGATTTTAAAGGCATTCAGGATCTTCTACAGCCTATTAAGAAAGGCTAACGATCATCAATATTACCTTTTATGATTGTTTTATGAACACTGACAATACTTGTCAATAGATTTTCAATTAATAGAATGACAGCTTTAACTGATGCTAGACCAAAACTGTACTCACATTTCAATCACTGAGAGCTGGAGTTGTTGTTTCTTGTTAGATGTTTCTCAGCTATGGTTGTTTGTTTATTTGTTTAGCACCAGCAGGTCTGATAGCAATGGCAATTTTTAAGAAAAGAAAAAATTAGTTGGGAGAAAGGTAGTGTATGAGCTCTCACTCAGTGCTTCTCAAACTGTAATTTGCATGTCAATCACTTGGAGATCTTGTTTAAAATGCAGATTTAAATTCAGTAGGTCTGGGGGAGGCCTGATATTCTGCACTTGCACAGTTGAGGCTATCACTGCTGCTGGACCATAAGCCCAACTTGAGTAGCCACATTCCAGGACACCAGGCTGTCTCGAAGAATTGGGATTTGACTTGATAGACTCTGAGGGCAAAACCAGGACTAATGGGTGGGAACTACAAAGCCCTGGATTCCAGCTCTGCCTAAAAGGATGGGTTGTCTTACTATCTAATGAGTGCTATGAAAAATAACAAAAACGCCATGGCTGCTCTATGAAAGTCTCTGGAGTGTTCCGTCAGAGGCTGTGGCCACTTGGCAGAGGCACCGCAGAGAAGGTTCCAAGACTGGCAGGGAGTTTAGAACAAGTGAGCTATGAGATCCTTTCTAAATCTTCTATCATAAACTCATGTCAGACTAAACAGCAGCATTTGCGTTAGCCCTATAACCTCGGGTACAATTCCTGACTTTGGGATCTAAGTGAGAAGATTAAAGAAAGCAGGAGACAGAGCAATGAAGCTCCCACTTGGGTTCTGACGGCTACTTGGGAGTAGCAGTCACTACCCGCCACTGTCACCGTCCCTTCTTTCCCTTCACACAGAGATGTAGCTCTCCAATCTCATGCCAGGGCTAGGGAAATGAATATCCAGATGATTCAGGCCCCAGAATGTTTCGAGTCTTATAACCTGGCTAGCCACAGACCAAAAACACTGGTGCCTTCATTACTTGGATAATGGGAGAATATTCACACAGTCTTTGTGGTGAACCCTTGAGAAAGCGAAGGAAAAGCAGTCCTTGCCAGCAGCTGATACTGACAACAGGGAGACAAAACCCTGTGGGCTGCCAGTTCTGTCAGTGACTCCACCTGAGGTCCTTCCCATCCTGAGTTTCCAAAGAGAAAAACGCGTTCCAACTGTATTGACCACAGATGGATTTATAGTTAAAACAGCATTAACAAAAACACTTCAGTGCACATATGACTTTTTCCACGCTGTTGATCACTCACTCAGCATTTATGGCTACAATTACTTTGGCATGTTTTTAGGCCCCTCAGATATATTTGGAAATCATTAATATTTGTTAAATATTCCCCTAATTGTATCAAGCCCCTTAAAGCTACAAACAGCATCTTCTATGCATTTTTCTCTCCTCCTAATGCTCTGTTCGGTAAGCAGGGTCTCTTGGACTATTAAAGATGAAAACACCCAGCCCATAAATGTCATTCCTCTCTGGCCATGCAGCCCACTGCGGTGGTGATGGGGTTTTTATAGTTGCTATTGTGGTAGTGATTATAGTTATAAAAGTGACAACTACTATTTTCTTAATATGATGTACCTTGTGGTGATTCTGTAATGAAACTATTATTATCCTCATTTCACAGACGAGAAAATTGAAACTCCAAATTAGTTTGTGCAAGATCGCAAACTATTAAGAGGCAGAACCCATTTGCAGACTGAGTCTGGAGATCCCACGCAGAACCTCGCAGCTGAGTGTCCACTTTGGACAGGATCACCTAGAAGCACACTAGCACTTAGCTGAGTCCATCCAGGGCCACCTACTGACCCTCCCCTACCACTCCTGCCTCTCACCCCCACTACTCTCTCCCCTAGCGGAACGAGTCTATCTTTTGCTCCAGGGGCATGTT